CCGCTCGAACTTGCTGGCCTTCGCCGCCGTCAAACATCCGGGTAATATCCAGATTGAAGCATCTCAGCTGCCTAGCAATGCTCCAATTGGATATAGTGTCACATAATACCGCCATCAACGTCAAGTATTACCGGAGCAACATACTGGCCAATGAATGATTGGAGGCGCTCAACCAGACGGCATAGGAGCCGAGGGCACGGTTTTTGAACGCGCACTGATGCCTGATTCAAGCCACGCTGTCTTCATGCGGGGCGGCGGCGGGCGCGCTACTTTAAAGTCCCTAAAAGAACGGGAAGTGATGCCGATAGAACCTTCAATCATTCTGGGCTAACGCTTATGACTTGGAAAAAGTCGCGATCCCGTTTCAAACGAAAACCTGTGGGCTCTTGTTCAGCAGGAGGTGTATGAAGAGCCACCCGCCATAAGCACCGCTCAACCGCAGGCACAGGTTTAGACGGCGTTTGTCCGCATCAAAGCCAGTGTGCTGGAGGATCCATTGGCTGAAATGCTCCAGAACATTCGCCACTGTGTTTTTATGAAAGTTGGCTACATGCTCAGTTAAAAGAAAAGGTACCAGATTGTTTTGCTTTTTAATTACAGCGGGAAGAAAGGTGTCCGGATAATTTCGTTACACCCCCTGTAATGTTCAAATGGTTGCTAAATTCGAAATCAGCTCCAAAAACTAGCCTAGAAACATGTAAAACTCGAAAAAGTGAACCGAGGTCATCAAAGGTCATTGAGCTGACCTGACCTTCAGGTGACTTTGACACCCACCCTAATGCATGGGACCATCATCATATCACATGTTTCAACGCTTGAAACCACGTGAAGACAGCAACCGCGCGGCTAATGCGAGCAGACATACGCCGAATCGCGATTCGGGCCAAACATGGTCTCGAGAAATAGGTCACAGGTCAAAGGTCATTTGGTTTAGGGTCCTGAAATTTTCAGGGTAGGTGTAAAATTGATAAAATCGGGGGCATTGAAAGTTTCGTCGCGATCGGACGGTTTTTACGCGAGTTACTCACGAAAAACCAATAGAGGAAAAAGCGCACCCAAAAAGGCAGAAATATGCACATGCGATATCCTATACTGCGAAAAAAGTTGGGGTGAGACTAAATGCTTACTTAGAAATCTAAGCTGCGTTGCGGCATTGGCGGTTATGTGCGGCGTGTATGCCGCATGATTAGTAAGCGGCGACCACTAAATTAAAAACTCAATAGCTTTGACCTGTTTTCAATGGATAACACTGCATACCAAAAATGTCCATCGCTCTCGTCATAGGATATTTAGATTTAAATAACTAACTTATCTACATCATCGCTTTGAACCAAATTAATACTTTCAACTTGACCCTCGCCCGTATTGGTGTTTTTCCAGCCGCGAACGTATAAGGTATAACCCCTTGCCGTTTCGCTCCTGATCAAGCTAGAGCTTCGCGAAAAAACCAGCGTGTTGCCCGTGACGAGAGGAAGCCGATGATACCCAATTTTAAGGTCCTAGGTCATCGGTTGACCTTCCAGGTCAGGTCAATGACCCAAAAGGCGGGAAAATTGGGACCTGTTAGAACGTCGTAGTGTGGCTGCCATGGGGTTTTCCGGGGTGCTGCTGATCACGAATATCGTGTTAGTTTTGATCGGAGATGATGTCTTTAAGCATTTAGACCAGCATCGGATCAGGTCAGGTCAGGTCAACCGGTAGGGGTCGTGATGGGTATTCGTAATACGTGTCAACCGCTTCTGCAGCTTCGTAACATGTTACGAATGCACCAACACTACTTCGTAAATGTTCAAATGGTTGCTAAATTCGAAATCAGCTCTAAAAACTAGCCTAAAAACATGTAAAACTCGAAAAAGTGAACCGAGGTCACCAAAGGTCAATGACCTGACCTGACCTTCAGGTGACCTTGACATCCACCCTTGTGCATGGGAGCAACATCAAATCACATGTTTGAACGTTTGAAGCCACGAAAAGCTTGCAAACGCGCGGCTAATGCGAGCCGACATACGCCGAATCGCGATTCCGGCCAAACATGGTCTCGGAAAGTAGGTCACAGGTCAAAGGTCATTTTGGTCAGGGTTATAAAATTTTCAGGGTGGGTGTTAAATTGATCAATGCGAGGGTACTGAAAGTTTCGTCGCGATCAGCCGCTTTTTAAGCGAGTTATTCGCGAAAAACCTTAGGGGGGTTGCATCAACCCCCCCCCCCCCTGTGCGGGCGAGGTCATGTTTTGATAGCAAGACTGAAACAGACTTTTTTGGGTAGCCAGGAAATCGCATGCCAGAGCCTATTCAAATTCTTTTATCGGCCTTTATATGCACCAGTCGCATACAGGTACGGGATTTAGCATACGATTTCCAGACAATCGAAAGACTGTTTGGAGCCAACAAAGGAAGGAATGAGTGAGTTAAGTTGAAAGTATTAATTTGGTTCAAAATGATGATGTAGATAACCTAGTTATTTAAAGCTAAAGATCTTATGACGAAAGCGGTTGGCATTTTTGGTATGCAGTGTTATTCATTGAGAACCGGTCGGAGCGTTTGAGTCTTTAATTTAGTGGTCGCTGCTTACTAATCATGCGGCATACACGCCGCACATAACCGCCAATGCCGCAAAGCAGCTTAGATTTCGAAGTAAGCATTTAGTCCCACCCAAAAAGTTGCATCATTTTTGAACGTCGCCGACAAATTGTAATTACCCTAAGCTCAGGCAGATGTATGGTAGAAAATCCCCCAAGTGAAATACACTACGGCGGAAATAAAATACCCTACGGCGGAGCTCGGTTGCAATTTGTAAATACGCCGCCCGTGGGACGAGCCGTGTTGAGTCTGGCCCAGAACAGGACGGTCGATGAGTTTAGACGAAGTTGGAGTGCTTGGCAGAGTTTCTGTCGTTTTAATGGACCGACGCTTCTGTCTCTCTGAAGTGGCAAAGTTTCGTGCACTCTGCAGCACTTAACGGTTGCTTTAGTGTCTTCTTTTTTTTGAAGCTTGAGTTTTATCATCATCGAAGGAGATTCGGTTATTAGATGCTTCGAGGAAATATATTGATTATCAATACCATGCTAATCTCGTAGTTAGCTTGTCCGAGGTCACGATCCTGTTTTCGTGAACTTTGGCATAATCTTGGTTATTCGCTTCTTCTGATGACGTTATGTAGAAAGGATAGCGTTGTAAGGTGACGAGGACGACATCTGAGTCTTCAAGCGGTAAACCGGTTCAGCGGCGATCTCCGGTCGCACGCCTGCTACAATCGCCTCTGACATCACATGGGTGACATCAGTGATAGGGAATCCCCCTAGCAGATGGCTATCGGGGAGCGCGGGCCGCCGCCTGTCGGGTGGAGGTCGGAGGGGACGCGTAACCGTGATCAGTATCTGATGTTTTGGAACGCCCCCGTGGCCAATGTCAGGGACATGTCGGTTATGTGTGTGTGTCGGGAGAGACCCGTAACCGTGTCCTGGCGGGCGTGCGATGCCAAATGTATACAAAGTTCGTCGTACGAGCGCCCCCGGGCGTTTATGTGGAACGTGCGCTCCACTCTGTATCCTGTTTGGACCGGCTGCTCTCCCTGTTCGCGGCTGATCACCGTGTTTTGTGACTTACCGATCAGAGGGGAGCGGTTAGGATGTGATTCACATTGTGGGACGCTATGGGTAAATAATCGTGACGCCATGAACAATGGGTGCCGTCGGTCTCCTCCTGCCTCTTGGCTGCTCTTTCTCATTTTTGTTAGGAGGGACTCTTATTGCATAATAAATTGTCCCAATAAGTCGCTCAATAATTTCCGTCAAGTGCAAATGATGAGGGGCTGGTGGGTATACACGGGCACAAAAGCTGACCGCTCACGCACTCAAACTCACACGCACGCAAGCCACTTTACATTTACCGCGCTGACGGTTCGCTTGACAGGCGAGGAAAAACTATGTTGGGGCACTGGTTCCTCGCGCCAACACTTTTGGGCATGTCATGACGTTCTTGCTGTGATCGCTGTCATTAAGTAAAAATATTATTGTGGAAAGGGACACACGCCGCCAAACTGACCAGTGCATGCTTGACTGCAAATGATATTAAACATTCACGTCGGCTGCTAAATGCTTTTTTAGAAGTCTCGCCCTTACAACTTTTACTTCTTGCATTGAGTCAGTCATCCCCCGCTGCCTCGCCTTCGGACAGCCCGTGCTCCTCCTGTTACCTGTATTACACCTCCCCTCGGCGCCCCTCTGGACGGTGCAGAGCGCGAGGGCGGCAGCGATTGGCACTCGATAGCCGTCGTCGGCCGGCCGGTGCCGTCTGTACGGCCGGTACCGCCCACCAGCCACCGCACAGCCACTAACAATGGTGGAGCGTGCCCGCGCGCGCGCGCGCCGGCCCCGCACCATCAGCTGTTTGGCTTAGTTTGCACGCCATGGACGGCTCACGCGATCATCTCTGGACGGAGTGGATCCAACGAGCGGTGATCGCAGTGCTGAGAGTGTGCGCGGACGGTGGACGGTGGATGGAAGTTGGTGGGCAGTGGATAGCAGACGTTGAGCAGTGTGTGGTATACGGTGGACGGTGGACAGTGGACAGTGGACAGTGTATGTTACACGGGTGACGGTGGGCGGTGTAGACAGTGGTTGATGAGCGGCAGAAAGTAGACGGTGGACGGTGTACGGCGGGCAGTGGGCAGTGCGTGGTGAGCAACCGTAGTGAACGTTGGGTGCTGAACCTTAGTTATGTTGTGGAGAATACTTCGTAACAAATAATTGAAAGGTCGTGTGTGAACCGTGCCGAGCGCCTGCGACCTCGGCATGGTCAGACCCAATAACGTCTTCAAACAGAAGTAACGATCGGCACCCGATTGTCCCCGACATCAATACAACAACCGGGCGGTGCCATCATTATCGGAACCCGATCCGACAGCCGCCCGCCGCGTCGCTGCGTCGGGCGCGCTGTGAGTGTGTCTGCCGACCTGTGAGAGTGTCCAACCTTTGCTTACGGCCGGCCCGCCGTCCGCAGGCTCCATCATGTTCCACGTGCGCCGGCGGCCCAACGACTACCAGCCGAGGAAGAGGAAGAAGCTGCCCAACCAGCCGTCGACGCCGTCTGAGGTGGACCATAGCTACCGGGGAACGGACGAGGCCAGCCTGCCGTTCCTGCTCGAACTCAACGCAGACGGCTCGGACGTGCGCCACCAGGCTCCCAGGTAGGTGACAAAAGGGTGGGGTGAGGGGGAGAGTTTGGAGGAGCGGCACACTTGTGCCGGGAGGATTGGGAGGAGCGGCACACTTACACTGGTGAGGAGGAGGAGGTTTGGATGAGTGTCTTGCTGCTGGAAAGATCAGTTTAGTTTGTAGCTGTAGACAAACCATCACGAGTGCTGGCGCCGGCTGCCAGAGTTCGTTACCATGACACGTCTGACGGTGTATTGACTTTGACACGCTGGGAGGCCGGGTAATCATTTGTCGGTTGGCGGGGGCAGAACAAACTTTCTGCACAAACACGACTGTCTGGCAGCGTGTCGGCCGGCGCGGTGGGTGTGTGCACTGCTGCTGCTGCCGGCACCCGGGCTCCCACGGATATAAGAGGCCGGTTGTCGCTCCGCAGGGTGCCATCTGGAGTACTATGTCAATGTGTTTCTTTGGGAGGGTGAGAACATGTACCGTATCGCTCGTTTACTACTCGTTTACTCGTTTACTCGTTTGCTCGGTACTGTTTATCGCTCGTTAGAAAGTTATTGCTGTGAATGTGCCCTGTGCTTCTTTAAAGTGTGTTCGTAGATGGTGAAACATTGCTAACATTGCTGTAGATATAGACATAAAAGTAAACATTGGTGTAAACATTGACATAGAAGTTACTATTGGTGTTTTAGTGTCATGCCTTAGTCTTTCATGAATGCATCCAGCGCTGGATATAGTGTGCGATGCTATCGAACTGTCTTAAAACATTTTGTGTCTTTATCTATAAGTTATTTACCTAAGCCGGCTTCTTGCTTCCCAGACGGCAGTTACAGCTTTCACCACTGTATCCAACCCCGCGTCTTGATACGTTACAGCCTGCCCCACCACATATCTCTATCTGTATTTGCCCGGCAGTCGGTACAGCCTGCCCCACCGTATCTAACCCCGCTGTCTCTGTCCCTCAGACGGTACAGCCTGCGTCTGAACGTTACCGAGGTGGGCTCGGAGCGCTCTCCGCAGGCGGGCGGCCAGTGTCTCCAGCTGGCCGGCCACAACGTGCACCCGCGTCACTGCGTCATCGCCCACACGGAGGGTATAGTGACGGTGACTCCGTGTGGACGGGAGGCCGAGACGTACGTCAACGGACAACGAGTGTACGAGACCACCATACTACAGGTAAGGGAGATAGATCAGCAGAACACCATACTGCTGACACGGGGAGACGTAAACCGACCACTATAATGCAGACTGGGGAGATATCAGCAGACCATTGTACTGCAGGTACGGGGAATATATCAGCTGACCACCTTACTGCAGGTAAGGGGGGGGGCAGACCACCATATTGCAGGTACGGAGAGGCGTAAACAGACCACCATACTACATGTTTGGACGGTGAGAGACCATACTGGGAGGTGTGGGAGATGGGCTGTGCCTGTTATAGGTGTGGACTGTGGAATGGAGTTACGGGCTCATGACACTACAGACACACTACACTAACTACAGCTGACACACACACTACAGTCACAGTCAGCTATGTAAAGACTATCACCACGCTGTCTGGCACGGAAAGATATGGGGAAGATAATTTCTTTAGTTTCCTGATGCTAAACAGAGCTGTCAGACGTTAGTTGTTCAAGTGTTCACCGTTCAGCCATTGTCAGAGCTTGCTTACCTGCGACCCCCGGCGTTACTCGCCCATCTCTTCTCACCCCTGTCTAATTTCCTTCTGGTCCGTCCATCTGGGGGACTTTTTGACGATGTCGCCCCAATACCAGGAGCCGAGGCCTGACGCGTCCTGCATGTTCGGCCGTTCGATTCTCAGGGGTCTCCCGATCCGGTGAGATTCCGTGAGCGGAGCACAATAACGCTGTCGATCTGGCCGACCCGAGCCGGTTTTACCAGATTAGTCAGGATCCGGCGGCTGATTAATTTGTGTCGGTCTCCGGAGGGGACAGCTATCCACAGATTTATTGATTTAGTGTGAACAGTGAAGATACGAGTGCAATATGGAAGGACTGATATTGGAGGGATGTCAAGAGTTGCTATCTCCGTTTCGGTTTCATGCCACGATTCTATTGAGGCTGCTGATGGTGGTTATTTGCCACACATTTCTGCGAATTCGTTGATCAATATGATGTGGACGCGCCTTGAAAGCATTTGGTTGCCAGGAGATATAGAACGCACGATGTGCGATCAATGGTTATTCGAATCTTGTTAGTGTGTCTCGCAGTCGTAATGGTACTAGATTTGAGGTTGTCATGGCAACGCGGCTTTGTGTCATAGGTCGCTGATCGTGACGTCACTGCTGTGACGTCATGCTCTGCTGACCTATCGACTCCCCGATACCCCGCTGTAGATTACCTCTGGATGAATGACCCTGGATTATCTCTGCTATATGCCTCAAACATTCAAATTTTGATTCAATGCACCTGATTCAAACGGGTACGGTTTTGTTGATCTACCCTGATAAACCCCTCGCCTGAAAAACACGAATGAATCATAACTGTCGACGAGCTAATGTCACAGATTAGTCGACACCTGAATCAGTGAGTAGAAATCGCCCGTTCCTTCTGTAAATGCCTGGGATGGGTAACTGCCGTTCACCCACGCCTAGTGTCTGGCAATATTTTCATTTACTTTGCATGACAAAGACCAAACATAAATACCTAATTCAGGAATGCCGGATTATTACACTTCCTCATCCGGCCATCGAACCATGTACAAGAACATGAGGGCCCTGCTGGTATTTACCTGGCACTTAAGGACTCACTCAGCACACCCACTGCCGGTCAGTGAGTGGTGCCGCATGTGGTCGTTACCGCCGCGTTTGTGTGCGTGTGTGTGCGGCCGGTGTGTGTCGGCTCTCTCGGGGTCGGGGTGGCTATCATGACTGACCGTGTAGGGGGCGGCAGCTGGTCACACTCTGACTCATTGATGATCGGCCCAGGGTGCGACAGATGGTCCCAGATCGGCCGCCGAGCGGAGAGAGCCGCCCGCGGTCCGAGGCAGTGATCGCTGTGTCGTGCTGTGTGTTAGGAAGTGTGTGAAGGGTGGGCTTAGGATGGGAGACATGGTAAGCTGTTGACGAGTCCTGGAAAAAGTTTGTCGAGTCTTTGAACATGGTCGAGTCGTGCTGAGTCGTTAAACTTTGAACACTCGTTGCTTCTTATCGAACTGGTAATTCCGATCCAATATGATACCCCTAAAACAATGACATAACAAGTACAGAGTGCTGGTCGTCTAATCGTCTTCTAAAAATAGTAACACGCTTTCCCCTTTTGTCTCCGGGTATGACTGCATCCGCTCCTTCTTAACCCGCGCACCGACGGGGGGGCGGATATCCGCCCCCCCCCTGAGGTTTTTCGCGAATAGCGGGAAAACCGCGGCGCGTAGCGCCGCGAAATTTGGTATGACTATTCCCTTATCAATTTTACACATGGTGTGCAAGTTTGAACCTCCTACCTTTCAAGGTCAGGTCACCAGGTCACTTTGAATGACCCAACCTCAAGTCACTTTTTTGCAACTTTGTCACCGTGCCAGAGCTACAGTAGATGTCGGAGGCCTTTGAAAGTCGCAGGATGTTATTAGGTCATTAGTAGCTACAATTTGTATATCTCGGAATTTTGATATCGGTGACCTAAGGTCAGGTCAATTTCGCGACCTCCCCATTATAAGTCAATGGGGGAAAAATCAACTCCCTGTTTTTACCACTAAAACGGGTCGGAATGGCCCCATATACCATACATGACTTCATATACGATCAACCTTCACTACCTTGAGGTCTGTTTTGCTGTTGGGCAGCTGTGAGGTCATGTGACGTCATCAAAGGTCACCAAAGGTTTTTGGCCAATAACTCCGTACAGGAACAAGATACAGACGCGTGGATGGTCTCATTGTGTTCAGCTCGTCAAGACGCATCGATTGATATACATGATGACCTCGAGGTCACGTGACCTGAGGTCAACCTTTGACCTTGACCTTTCGAGGTCAACATATATATCATTCGATGCGGATTGACGAGAGGATCACGATGATGCCCTTAGTTTGTTCCTATCTTGACTAATTCGAAAGTTATTCGAGAAAAACTCTCTCCATATTTAGCGCCGCCATTTTGACTTTTTCGACCCCTGTGACGTCATCTTTGACCTGACCTGAAAATGACCTTAGTAAAAATTGTAGATCTTGACCGTGCGTATCCGATGCCGTTTACCGCTTGTCGCTATCTTGCTTCGTTCTCGAGATCTCAGGGGGGGGGCGGTCATCCGCCCCCCCCCCGTCGGTACTAAGTTGGCGCAGACCCCCGTCGGTGCGCGGGTTAACGCCGCCTGCCCTATTCTAACCCTCTCCCCCCTTCTATCTGCAGCACGGCTGTGTGGTCCAGTTCGGGCGCGTGTACCGGTTCCGGTTCCTGGACCCGGCGCACGAGGCGCACCAGCGTCCCAGGGGGCGCCGGGAGTCCGGCCGCGGCCACAACGAGAGCTACGCTGAGAGGTGGGTGCCACGAGGAGCTGACGCTTGTTCGAATGTTTGGGTCTGTTTGTATGTCAGCTGTGCATGAGCGTGAATTTGTGTAGTTTTGTGTTCAGCCTAGCATGCAAGCGATGCATGTTTAGTGTCGAAGCTCAGTTTTGGAGTGGGTCTCGATGATGGGTTTCATAGAATCGTTGCAGTTATAGTGAAGGCTTGTGGACGTCTTCTGTGAGCCGTGACTACTGACTAGACAAGTGACGTGTGCAAGGCGCATTGGTGTGTACGGTGCAGTGTAGTGAACGTTCGTAAGCAAGCTTCGAAGGATCGTCCCGTCATCCCTCATTATCGTCTGCATCACGACACACGTTTTCATATTTCGCTGCCCACATCCACATAGCGAAGGCTAGTCCTCTCCGCGCCCTCCCATGGATCTTCCCGTCACTCCCCCGCCTCCCCTCCCCTCCCCTACACCCCCAGGGCAGTAACCTGTAATGTGATCAGGTCAGTCCACTTTGCGGGAATGCCGTCCGTTCGTTTACTGCTGTGCTGAGTGGTCTGTGCACTGCTGGTGGCGGGTGCGGCCGATGGGCGCCGCCCACCGGTACACATTCGACTGAGCGGGCACCCGGGCTGTGCAGGGTCTGTTTTGTTTGGTAACAATGGGGTGAATGCGTGATGGTAGAATGTGTTGTCTGTGTGTTAGTGGTGAAGATACAATGTGGTTGATTGCTCTGTGATATTGTTTTATGTGGAGATGCAAGCTCAGTGTGTACTGTAAGTTACCAGAAGGTGAAGTACAGTGAACAGTGCATTACAGCGCATTGGTGTGGTGATGGTGCACAGTGTTTACTGTTTACCTACCGTATGGTTTCCACGTGTATGCCGTGGCTCAGTAATTGAAGAGTATGAGTTTTGCGTGTTTTAATGTATCATTTTTATCAAGTATCCTTTCCGCTTTTTGAACTAGCACGAAGTCGTAATGCTCCCGATACCATCACATGCACTATGTGATGTCGATATTGCCTGCATGTTTTCACCAAATGCTGTTTTAGTGAATCGCTACTATTAGCAGTGGCGTGTGCGTGTTTTGCCTGGCTGGTAGACTTCCCTCAAGGGACCCAGCTTTGTACCGCTGCGTGATATGAAATTACACCACGCACCGTGCCGTGCGCCGCCTGGGCTGTATTGTCACGTCCCTAACACTGTCCCCGAGCACCCGAGCTTCTGAGTGTCCCCAGTGTAGTAACCGCACCGCTTTTCGTTCGTTGTCTTAGCCACGACCCTGGCCGCCGCAACAGCATGGAGACGACGTTTGATGTGGCTGGTAATGTGGAGACAAGATCCACGGCCAGCCAGAGACACAGGGACAGAGAGGAGACGGCCAGTCAGCGATCAGACGGAAGGTGAGGGGGTCAGAGGGCAGTCAGAGACACCAGAGACCAGTCAGAGACACCAGAGACCAGTCAGAGACACCGAGACAGAGAGGAGACGGCCAGTCAGCGGTCAGATGTAAGGTGAGAAGGGGGATAAGAGGACCAGAAACACCAGAGTCTAGCTAGAGACACCGGAGACACCAGGACAAGGAGGAAACGGCCAGTCAGCGGTCAGCCAGGAGGTAGTGGTAGTGACTACAGTCAGAGACATTAGAGTCCAGTCAGACATCGGAGTCCAGTCAGACACCAAAGTCCGGACAAATACACCAGAGGCCAGTCAAGGGTCAGAAGGAAGATAAGGTGCTGGATCAGACGGTAGGAAATAAATGGACATACAGCGGTCGGATGGGAGGTAATGTGTGGGGTCAGTGTCCAGACGGCCGCGCAAAGTGTAGGAAGTCAGTGCTCGGGTGGAATGCAGTGTAATGGGGTCAGTCGGCAGGAACCAGACGGCAGTCTGTGCTCCGATGGAAGGTAAAGAGTAGGGCAGACGGTAGTAAACGAACGGATATGTTGGAGCGGTCAGACGGGAGGGAAGGCAAGGCAAACGGCGGTCGGAGAGAAGGTAAGGAGTGGGGTCAGACGGTAAGAAAGTGGGCTTTGGTTAGGCAGTGATCACGCAATGTCTTACGACAGTCATGTCAGGGAATGGCAGACAGTTGTCTGTTCTGTCTGATGTCTGACAGTTGATAATGGGAAAGGGTCGCACAATGCTCGGACAACGGAGGACGAGTGGTAAGGTCCACGGCGGATACAGTCAGATAGTCCGACCGCGAACCTAAGGTTACGTCGTGGTGACTAGGTATTGGGGTATAATCAATAGCGTGCCACCCGTGACCCGTGATGGGTGAGCTTTATGCCTGGATTAGCTGGACAGGATGTCGGCTCTAAGTAATTGGAGCTTTGTCAGATGTCTGTCATATTTGGCCTATGATCTCCGATATTGTTTCGGTTTCATCTGACAAGGATTAGGTTGCGAGCGTGATGCAATGCGACATCCATTTAGCCGAAAATAGACGGTAAACGCAGCGGCCAAAGCCGCTCGGTTATCGACGTTTCCTGATCATTGAAAGCCGGCCACTGTTGATGAGAGATCCGATCATGCTGGTATTGCGATTATCAGTACGTTGATTACGTAGAAATAAAGGATGGTTATGGGCAACGGTGTAGGGATGCGTTGTTCTGTCTCTGCTGTTTGTTTTGACATAACTTTGTTACATTCATGATAGTGTTTCGGCCCATGCTTGAATTACATTATGTAATTATTTATGTTGTGTATGTTCCATTTGTGCTTATGTGCATCTAAACATGACGCCGCTGCCATGTGTCCGTCAGGTCGAACAACTACGCCAGTTTCCGTCGTGGTAGCGACCCGATCCTGCCGGCCGTGCTCGAGTTCAGGGAGGAGACCGAGGACGCGTTCCTGCGGGCTGTCATCACACGGCTCGACCCGAGCAGCCTGCAGTTCAAACTGGCGCCCACCTATACTCTCTACATGGCCGCGAGGTGAGTTAGACGGTCTCCAAGAGAGTCTGACAGCCTACAGTTCAAACTGGCCTACATTTGTATTTCATTTACTTTGAGTGCTTTCATCACCTGCTGATATCACTAGCTATCCCTTTTCACGACGGAATATTGGACACCTAACTATTTGATCGAATTTTGAAGGAAAAAAGCAAAGCAATCGGCATGTCAATCAAAAGCTGGAAATCTTACTGTTAATCGACTGCTAAAATTTCTCACTTATCAAACTGTTCAAACGACCCAAATTAGTGCCCCAAAGTTCTGTTGTGAAAAGGGCTTACCGCTTATGTGTATTTGTATCAATGTTATTTTCAGTGAACATGTCGGCATGTTATCATTTTCTCATTCTGTATAGATTCTGACTGAAATATGTTGTTTTCCGTCTGTCGCCAGGTTTCGGGCCAGCACGCACTATCGCAGTGACCTGTCGCCCAACGAGAGAGCTCTGAGGCTGACCAACGTCCTGGCCAAGGTGGCCTCCATGATCCGGGACGTTGTGCAGGCAAGTGATACCTTGGCGCACAGGTTATACGAACTTATCACTCGGTGATAGTATGGTACCTCACTGGTACTCCGCATACTAATTGAGTGACATGATATTCTGCTACATGGCTAAAAGCGTTTTTATAAGCATTTGTTAGTGGTGGTATTCTGCCAGTTGCATTTTTCATGCCGGGTGGCTTAGTAAGGCACATTTGTCGCCCGTCTGGTCTCGGCACTTCACGATCCCCGTGTCCGTAATGATGACCGTGCAGGGGTCCAGAACCGGCCGACCTGTGGGCCTCTGTCCATCCCATCCCCGACATCCCCGTGTTCGTAATGATGACCGTGCAGGGGTCCAGAACCGGCCGACCTGTGGGCCTCTGTCCATCCCATCCCCGACATCCCCGTGTTCGTAATGATGACCGTGCAGGGGTCCAGGCCGTACTGTGGGCCTCTGTTCGCCTCCTACCCCGTGTTCGTAATGATGACCGTGCAGGGGTCCAGAACCGGCCGACCTGTGGGCCGGGCTGCGGCCGGTCGTGGATCGCGCCCAGTCGGGCTGCCGAACCGACCGGCCGCGGCGACTCACCGCAATTCTCTGAACGAACATGGGGCTATAATTATAGATAGATGTATACTTGTAGAGGCATGCTGTCTGCTGAACAGTAACAGGATGTCACTGGTCGAAGAAAATGACCTTAGCGTCGGCGCGCCCTAAAGCCCCAATCAACAAACAATCACTGGTCGAAGCTGAAGGCTAAGCAAGGGCTGACTTTGTGGGTGCACTCACTAATGTACTGATTTGAGCGGGAGATTTGCCTCAAGCTACACACTTGCTTCACTCACCACCATCAACAGCACATTCATATTACAGTATGATTAACCATTAACCATCCCCTAACCCGTCCGCTATTCTTCTTCTGTCCCAAACCCCTACACCGTCTAATCCTCTCACCCTGACCCTCTCCTTTCACAGATGCGTCGCGGCGACGCCAACTCTCTGGCGTTCTGGATGGCTAACGCGTCCGAATACCTGCACTTCCTCAAACAGGACCGGCACGTGAGCGCCTACAGCCGCGACGCACAAGACATCCTGGCCGAGAGCGTCCAGTCGGCATTCTGGTGAGTTAGTGGCGAGAGAGCGTCCAGTCGGCATTCTGGTGAGTTAGGGTGGCGAGAGTGGCGAGTTAGAGAAGGAGTGGTGAGAGTGTTCAGTCGGCCTTATGGTGAGTTAGTGGCAGAGAGCTTCCAGTCGGCATTCTGGTGAGTTAGGGTGGCGAGAGACGAGTTATAGGGGAGTGGGAAGTTAGAGGGAAGTGGATGAGTTGGAGGGAAGCTGCGACAGTGTCCAGATGATGAGTTACAGGAGAGGATTACTGATTAGGTGAGGTGATTGTATCCAGTGATTGATTGATTGAGGTGATTGATTGGTGATTGTTTTCCAGTGAGTTACAGGGGAGTGACGAGTGTCCAGTTGTCCTATTAGTGAGTTAGAGGGGAATGAGTGGGGCTTTCCACACGACTAGCTGCTATTTGGATAGCTTGGAATTCGATTCGAAATGGATAGCCTTCCCTTACCAGTGTCCACTGCCCACCTTATCATGTAGACCATAGTGGGACTCAGTTCCCGGATGTACGCATGATTATAAAACTCTTCAAAGACATTGTTTGCTGCTTACTTGTCCGTAAAGAAAGTTCATGTGAAACAGAACGACTTCTTTCAAACTTCTGCAGCTACAGTCCTGCTACATTCATCATGTGATAACTTATGCAATAGCATTCTTCTCTAGTTTATTACAGACATTCAGTTCTTTAATTGCTATTGTTTTGTATCGTTCTTCTCACTCAGAATCCTCTATGACGGCGTTGGCATTCTGCCTTACTCTTCTAAGGTACGCTTCGCACATATCGAGATTGCTTTTTTATTACGGTGATCTGGCTCTAAAATCTTCAGTCACTTTGCGGGTCTCCGAGGCTTGCTGTACTCTCCATCGTTCTTATTTCGGTCGCCCCCAACCCCAGCCCTCGATATGTCATGCTTCTGTCGATTGACGGTAGTTGTAGCTGAAATAGTGTGCCTATCGTGTGCAACACGCCCCGTCGACCGTCTCCGCGTCTCGCTGCGACAGGAACCTGGTGGATAACGTACAGTCGGAGCTGGGTGACTCAATCATACCGCCCCGGGTAGGTGCCCAGTTGACCGTCACCTTGTAACTCCCTCTGACAGGAACCTGGTGGATAGCGTTCAGTCGGAGCTGGGCGGCTCCATTTTACCGCCCCGGGTATGTGCGCAGTTGACCGTCTCTCCGTCTCGCTCTGACAGGAACCTGGTGGACAACGTTCAGTCGGAGCTGGGCGGCTCCATTTTACCGCCCCGGGTATGTGCCCAGTTGACCGTCACCTTGTAACTCGCTCTGACAGGAACCTGGTGGATAACGTTCAGTCGGAGCTGGGCGGCTCCATTTTACCGCCCCGGGTATGTGCCCAGTTGACCGTCACCTTGTAACTCGCTCTGACAGGAACCTGGTGGACAACGTTCAGTCGGAGCTGGGCGGCTCCATTTTACCGCCCCGGGTATGTGCCCAGTTGACCGTCACCTTGTAACTCGCTCTGACAGGAACCTGGTGGATAACGTTCAGTCGGAGCTGGGCGGCTCTATTTTACTGCCCCGGGCGTGTGCCCATATGACCGTCTCTCCGTCTCGCTCTGACAGGAACCTGGTGGATAACGTTCAGTCGGAGCTGGGTGACTCAATCATACCGCCCCGGGTAGGTGCCCAGTTGACCGTTACCTTGTAACTCGCTCTGACAGGAACCTGGTGGATAACGTTCAGTCGGAGCTGGGCGGCTCCATTTTACCGCCCCGGGTGTGTGCCCAGTTGACCGTCTCTCCGTCTCGCTCTGACAGGAGCCTGGTGGACAACGTTCAGTCGGAGCTGGGCGGCTCCATTTTACTGCCCTGGGTATGTGCCCAGTTGACCGTCTCTCCGTCTCGCTCTGACAGGAACCTGGTGGATAACGTTCAATCGGAGCTGGGCGGCTCCATTTTACTGCCCCGGGTATGTGCCCAGTTGACCGTCTCTCCGTCTCGCTCTGACAGGAGCCTGGTGGACAACGTACAGTCGGAGCTGGGCGGCTCCATCTTACCGCCCCGAGCGTGTACCCATATGACCGTCACTGTGTGTCTCCCTCTGACAGGAACCTGGTGGATAACGTTCAGTCGGAGCTGGGCGGCTCCATCGGACACTTCCTCGAGGACCGGGACGACTCGGATGAGGAGGAGGGTACCACGGCCGAGGTGAGGGCGGTAGCGAAGGAATGGAGGTACTGGGAGGTACCAGATGAGGGCACCCAGTCGAGGTAGGCGCTGTTCGCAGCGGATGTGGACCGGGACGACTCGGACGAGAAGGAGGGTACCACGGCCGAGGTGAGGATGACCCCTCAAACCCCTCAAAGGGGTGGCCCCCAAACACCCTCAGAGGGCGTTTGGCAGGGATGTTGGAGGACCATTGAAAGACGTGACGGCCAGGGGCCGGAGACACTAGGATGGTCAAGGAGGGCGGTGAAGAGGCTGTGCCGAAAACCCCGTGGAAAACCCTGAACGTCTTATCGTTTTTCCCTGTGCCGCCAGGTTTTGAGTACGCTGGGTAACACGATGGCGCTGCTGCGCCGCTGTCGGGTGAACGCCGCCCTCACCATCCAGCTGTTCTCACAGCTCTTCCACTACATCAACATGGGCGTGTTCAACATGCTCGTCATGCCCGGCCCGGTCAACTACTGCAGCAGGTTAGTTAGGGGTCGGGGTAGGATGGTGTGGGTGGCGATAGTGAAAGCGATGGCGCTTTGATACGTGGTGGCCGGCAGGTATGAAATGTCTAATTATAAGCAAATGCATCTAAGTTGTTGGCTATTGGCATAACGTATGCATTTATTATTCATTATTGCAATTATAATCTTTGGTGGTCGGTGCTGGAAGACTGTGTTGTTCTTGAACAGATATTTAGCGGAAGTGTTGTTCAAGAACAATTAGTCATTATTGGCGTGGGCTGTCGTCAGCTCTTGCGCAAAATGCTCTGAGAGTAGTTCAAGTGTCTGTGTGTCTTCTCTCACGAGTTGTTGGATGTATGTGGGAACCTGCTCGGCGCATCAGGTGTGCTCAGTTTCTGACCAGGATCTCAGCTGCGCTGAATTTAGGTCGCGGAGGTGTAGTTACGTAATCCTCCATTTCTCTGCTCAGCTATTATAGCTGCCACATCCTGCTAGGCCTCGCTTAAGGCGAAGGTTTATGCATCTTTTCGGCCTGAATTCCGAACCGTATCCCGCTGCGTGGGACGTTCGGCTCTGCACATCCTTTTAACACTGAATATTCTCCGAAATAGACGTTTGTTTGACCTGGACTTGATCGAAACTCGCCGAACTTGTGAACTCTAGCTGTTCGGTCGGGGTATAAATCAGCACCCCGGGCGCTGCTACGCCCACTTACACCAACTCTGTGTGTTGATTTTCCGGTAGGATGTGGGGCGAGCGCCTGAAGCGTCGACTGAGCCGCACCGAACTGTGGGCGGACCGCCAGGGGCTGGAGCTGGCCGCCGACTGCCACCTGGGCAGGGTGGTGCAGGCCGCTCACCTACTCACGGTGAGAAAGAGGGAAGGGGAGGTTAGATAGGGGACAGAGGGGTCAGGAGCCTGGCGGCCGACTGCCACCTGGGCCGGGTGGTGCAGGCCGCTCATCTACTCACGGTAAGATACATAGAGGGCAGGGTTGGCAAATTTATGCCAGCAGCCGGTTTAAACCGGTTTAATCCATGGATTAAACCGGCTGGCATAAACTAATTTAAGCCACCCCGGTTTAAACCAGTGTGCACCAACATAATAAATGCCACTTACGTTAACTTGCCGTAACATCACTTGGGTTAAACTGCTTCTTCTCTTCACATTTTCTATACACACCTTTCAATTATACATGCTAACTTGTAATGTTTTTTCCTGGGGGTTGACTTTATGTGATTCATTATTGATCTGTATCACCCTGTATCAAATGTTTATTTTGATTTGCAGTGTTTTACACAACTAGTTGTTTACATGGGTAGTTTATGGAATGAAAGGTCTTGGAGACAGCTTCAATAAAGAAACCAATTTCAATTTTATGAGAAGCTGTAGCAAACATGACCTAATGCCAAATGCATGGTGCAAGGATCAGTGAATGGTAAGGGCCTAAGAACTATCATACAGAACATTGCCTATTTACTAGGGAACTGTCTATTGCTTAAGCAGTCAGTGACACTAAACAAAGGAATTGACAGCACGGCCACCATTATAGGCTCCAAAGTACATGTAAAAAACATAAGTGTGATTAGTTAGGGACACTGTTATACCAAGAAAACAACATGCACTACTTGAAAAAACACAAACCATAGGAACATTCCAGAAGATTTATAAATGATGAGTTGTTACAATTATTTCCTGTGCAATTAAATCACAGAATGGGTGATACCTAGTACCTACCATGATAAATAATTTTTTTTCTAGTGTTTCTGGCCCAGTCCCCAGACGATTGGTCAGAATGCATTTTACATGTAAAATAAAGTGAGACTTTTAACTGGTATACCGAACGTTAAGATTAGAATGTGCTTATGCCTTATCCCTACTTTGTTTCTTAGCTTAGTTACCTACTGACCAGATTGTCAACATAATCACATGCCAAAATGTTGACATAATACCAAATGACACAGGTACTGACTTCGTGCACTCTGCACATTCACCAACGAGTACACTGACCCACAAGATAAGTTATTACGAGCGAGCGAGCGCAGCGAGCGAAGCGAGTCTTTTCAATATAACGGAAAAATCTCAGTATGAGCGGCCCGGCCCGGCCCGGCCCGGCCCAGCCCGGCCCGGCCCGGCCCGGCCCGGCCCGGCCTGTAACGCTTTTGAGAGGCTTATATCTCAGCAACCGCTGGACCGAATGGCCTGCGGTCTTTTTTGCTGGGTAGCCCCATCCCTTCTACCCCGTAATTGACTACTTTTGATACATCTCAGTGACCGCCGTGGCACGTGCCACGTGAAAAGTCAAGGGTGTTCAAGCAGTTTCGCAAAAGTAATGATTTTGATAGGCCCATATCTCAGCAGCGGCTTGAGCGATTGTCTTGCGGTCATTTTTATAGGGTAGCTGCATCCCTTCTACCAAAGGTCGGATACTCTTCATCTATGTGAGTGACCCCCACTGCACGTGCAAAATACAACAATAAGAGGTGCCAAATTTGTTCCCATTTCCGTAACTCGGTAATTACTGGGACGATTTCGCTGAAACTTGGCATACAGGTAGGCACCCACCAGGCGATGCATTCCCATGTGTTGTGGTTAGGGTGCTACTGCACGTGCGCACGTGCAGGGGGCGTTTCCAGATCTCGAGAACGGCTGGGCCGATTGCGCTCAAATTTGGTACACGGTTGGGGACCAGTTAGTAGGGTGCCGTGCAAAAGTCATTTTGGACCCCGTTTGCACGTGCGCACGTGCAGAATGCCGCTTCCAGATCTCAGGAACGGCTGGGCCGATTGCGTTCAAATTTGGCACACCGCTAGCGACCAGTTAGAAGGGTGCTTTGCGCAAGCCCGTTGGAAGCACCCTCTCGCCCATCCGCACGTGCAGGGCTCACTATCTCGCTCGCTCGTTCTTCGCCCAAAAGGCGTTTTACTGGTAGTAGATGTTTTGACTGAAGGTGTTTTTTATTAATTTAAGCCGGTTTAAACCGGTTTAAACCGGTTTAAACCACTGGCTGGCATAAATTCAATTTAAGCCGGCTTTTATCCAACCCTGATAGAGGGGAGGTTAGATAGGGGACAGAGGAGTAAGATAGGAGCCTTGCGGCCGACTGCCACCTGGGCCGGGTGGTGCAGGCCGCTCACCTTCTCACAGTAAGAGAGACTAGGGACGGAGGCCGGGAGATTAGCTGCTCGAAGTGAATTATAATGACAGATGGGTGGGGTAGGAATATGGTCTGGTATGTTTTCAGTTACCTGCGTGCGGAAAACTATGGGCTGACATAGTGAAACTCCTCGGGTAAAACAGTTTTAAGATCTGATATCCAGATGTCCCTAACAACTGACACCGGTAACCACTCTTTTTCCTTCACGCAGGCTCCCAAGAACAACGTGGACGACCTGACGGGTATCACGAGCACGTGCTACAAGCTGAACTCCCTGCAGCTGAGGGCGATGCTGGAGCGGTACCAGCCGGCGGCCGACGAGCCGGCCAAAATACCGCCGCAGCTCATCGACAATATTGTCAGGGTGAGTGTAAGGGGAGGGAGGGGAGGGCGGGCGAGTGAGCGGGCGCGATGCATATATTTTATGTTATGTTTGTTTTGTTTTGTTTGTTTACGTTACCGTAAGGTGGGGCTATTTGAGACAGTATTTAAAATTGTTATAAAATAAAAATCGTTTGAATTTTATGCTTAATTTTTGCTCAGGCGATTTACTGCTCGATTCCACACCTTCCTGAGCAAAAATATCACATAAAAATAAAACGCTCTTCATTTTATAGCGATTTTAAATACTGTCTCAAATAACCCCACTGCACAGTGGGGATTTTTCCGATCTAGCACGTATTTATTCGTAGAGGGCAAACCATAGGTAGAATTGTAGCCAGATTGTGCACAGATGTTGGCTGGTGTGTCCTGGTGAGAATTTAACCTGTAAATGTGCATAATCAACATAGTATAGGGATTCAATTGGACCCCCCGCTCAGCCGTTTGGCCCCTGATCAAGCTAGAGCTTCGCGGAAAAGTCAAGCGTGCTGCCTATGACGAAATTAGGCCGAATATATCCAATTTCAAAGTCCAAGGTCATAAGCTGACTTTCCAAGTCAGTTTAATGACCCAACTAAAGTTGGGAAATCGAGACCTCTTGAAACTTCGCAAAGTTAGGGTGTTACGGAGTATTTTGGGGTGCTGATCACGAATTTCATGTTAGTTTTGATCACAGACGATGTCTTTATGCATTTAGGCCAGGTCGGGTCAGGTCAGGTTAGATGAATTAGTAGGCGTCCTGCCGGCCATCCATAGAAGTGTCACCTACTACTGATAGCTTCGTAACATGGAACGAAGGCACTAGAACTACTTCGTAAATATTCAAATAGCTGCTAAAATCGAAATCAGCACCAAAAACTACCCTAGAAACAAGTAAAACTCGAAAAAGTGAACCAAGGTCATCAAAAGGTCAATGACCTTGACTTGACCTTCACGTGACCTTGACACCCACCATTATGCATGGCACCAACATCATTTCACATATTTGAACGTTTAAAACCACAAAAAGACTGGAAACCGCGGATAATGTGAGCTGGCATACGCCGAATCGCGATTCCGGCCAAACATGGTCTCGAGAAATATGCCACAGGTCAAAGGTCAGTTGGGTCAGAGTCATGAAATTTTTAGGTTAGATGTAAAATTGATGATCTCGAGGGTACCGAAAGTTTCGGCGCGATCGGCCGCTTTTTGCGCGAGTAATTTGCGGAAAACCATGGGGTTTTATCCGACCCCTTCCCCCTCCCCCTCCCCACAAGTGCGATGGTTAATAAGGTTACGGTATGTATAGTTTACGCTTGTCATCCTATTCCTAATGAATGTGTCTCAGAAAATATGCATTCATATAAATCACGAAGTAAAATTATTCGCCTATGTCCGGAACATACCTATATCGTGCTGTTTTCCCTAGTGCTCCTCGAGTGGGGTGTTAAGATACTCTAATGTATTCCGTGTTCAGGCAAGTTTCGGCAGCCAAACTAGGCGTTGTCTTGTGCAGAAGAAAGTGGCGAATTCGATAGGATATATTTCGGAGTGGAAAAGTGTGGAGAACATTGTTGATTTCCTACATTTATTTAGAATACCATTCCTTCAATATGGTGTCTGTAAGGGTTTTTTGTAAAGGGCATTTTTGTGACCTTAGTAAGGTTGTGGCATACTTTCTGTTTGCCATTCCATTCCTAATAAAGGTGCCTTTCAGACGATATGCAACTTTAAGACCTCGCAAGATTAAAACCAACAGGACAGGACAATGAAATTGAGCTATACTTTCGGGCCTTGCTGAGCCCATTGAGTAATCACGCATGAGTGTGAACTTTGGGCGCATTTTTCCTAGTTTTGCTGTGGACATGCAGATAAAACAATGCCATATATGAAAAATTCAGACATTTCTTAGCCCTACTGACACAAAAAATAAACAAAAATCCAAAAAATATTTTTTGAATTAATAGGCGCTAGATCGGAAAAATCCCCACTGTGCACTGTCTCAAATAGCCCCACTTTACGGTATGTAGTTTTGTTCTGGTCACTGCAGATAAGATGATATGTGTTAGTGGTGTGAGGTGCCGAACAGTCGCCACTGTGGCTGTATGGCGCCGCAGATCACTTATTAATTTCGGCGCCCAAAACCCCAACTCGTCGTGTTCTGCGGTGCCGTAAGGTCCCTGTGCGATGGTGGGTGCCAACGAACCCATTGATGACTGTCCTGTGATCGCTCACCTCCAGCTGGCACATACTATTCCCAAGCGTGCCATGACCCTCATCCGCCCCTGCAACAGAGTGCCGAATGTTTAACCCGTCACCCCACCCCCACCCCCCCCCCCCTTCGTCACAATATATTGCCGAGTGTTTACCCTGTCACCGTCCGTCCCCGTCGCAGATTGCCGAGAGCACGTCGGACGAGCTGGCTCGCCAGGACGGCCGCCCGGTGCGTCTGGAGGAGAGCAGGGACCTGCAGCTGCCGTTCCTCCTACCCGAGGACGGGTACTCGTCGGACATCGTGCGCGGCATTCCCAACGGTACGTGACGAAGTGGGCTTGTGCTGCTTTTTTCGCTACCCTCGCTAACCCAACTTAGCGAGGGTTGTCCTGGTTCACAGTTGACTAACAGAGTTGGTGAACGTTCATCAGTTATCACTTATTGTAAATTACTCTGCTGGACTTAGGAGCCTGTATCATGTGTTCCTATATCGACTGGTTGTGCAGTTGATGCACTGCGGACAGCTGGTAGGGCATGTTGTTTCGCGGAAGCTTGCTGTCATCCGAGTGATATATATGTTATGGCACATCGTTCACCGCGGAGCTGTTTTTCGGGTGCAGCTTATATTGCTGCGCTGGAGCACACCATTTGCAGTAATTGCAACGATGTTCCTCGCGAGAGCAATTAGAACAGCAGATCTTCAACTTGACTGTTTGTCCAATTAACGAACTCGCTGTCAGCAACCAGACACCACACATTACCCTACGTCGCTTGATGTTTGTGCGATCATTGCTCTGTGTAGTTCGCTTTGATTTCTTTTCTGATATCCGGCTCGGTCATCGGTTACTGTCGCCAGATCTGACCGTGTTCATAGCGCAGCTGCAGTATGTGTGACCTCTGGCCTAACCTTTGACCCGCCCACTGTCGGCAGGTCTGACCGAGTTCATAGCGCTGCTGCAGCACACATTGACCCCTGATCTAACCTCTGACCCGCCAACTGTCGGCAGGTCTGACCGAGTTCATAGCGCCGCTGCAGCACGCTGGTCTGGCGCGGATGAGCGAACAGCCCACCAGCTGGGGTTACTGGACCATCTATATGACGGGACAGGAGCACCGGCCGCCGGTCAGTGACGCGGGCGGGCCGCTATGCCAGTTAACTTTATAATATGCACATCATGGGATGTATTTTGGCCCAAAATGTGTTGGACATCATTAGTTTAACCCGCGAGTTGCTGGGGGGGGGGGGGCGTTAAACGCCCCCACTTTTTTCTCCGGGCCATAGCATAAAAACGGCGCGCCGCAGGCGCGCCAAATTTTGGGTACCTGTAGGGAATTGATTGAAGTTTATTGTGACAAAGTTTCGAAAAAATTGATCAGAAATTTTTTGAGATATCGAGGTTTTAGTGACGTCATGATTTCTGAGTTTTCGACCAAAAACGGCATATGTTCAAAAACTCATATAAAATCACAGAATAGACATACAGACATGCCGTAAACGCCATTAGACTGCCAATACCATGATCAATCAAATGGCTATCTTCGATTATTGATTATCGTTCTGCATTTTCCATAATCTTGAACTGAGTCTTGGCAATTTTTCGTGACTACTTCACGACCATGATAAATGCATTTCTTAAATTGAACTTTCTGAGCCAAACACGTACACATATGATAAAATGAATGTCACCATCGTGTTCCACGACCAAAATTACCTATGAAACATGTGTCACAGGCTGCGAATATCAGTTTTGATTTTCGGGGATATGTGCCTACCCGGTTGACCTGACCTTGACCCCGACCTATGCTTGACTGACCCCTACATGGAGCTGACACTCTTGTAGGCCTTATATGATGGATTGTTCACCGTTTTGACAGAGTTTATAACGAGAGGCGCCCATTGCGAAGTCCTGAAGTCCATGCTACTGAAAGCCCGATTTCAGGTGTTTGACCTGACCTTGACCCGACCTGTGACCTCAAAATTCAACTTTAAAGTACTCATCTGAAGCGTCTCGTCGCGCTCTTTCGTTCGCCGCCTCGTGCGTTTCGCTGCGCCCATTGGTTCTCGAGTTATCGGCTGGGGGCGTTTAACGCCCCCCCCCCCCCCCAGCAAGGTGGGTGGCGAAATACCCCAGCAACTGCCGGGTTAACACGCCAGGCCGTAATAATGCTATAAACACTGACAAGTATGTAAAGCACGTCATGATCACATTGATGGGAATTGCAGTGCTCTTAACCAATCAGTAAGCTTCTCAGAACTTTGCTGATCGCATGTTATATCTGTCACTTCATGCTCCTTGACACCCCATCGCCGTCCCCACAGCAAATGCGCAGTCCGTCGGCCATGTCCAACCGGTCTATGGGGGCGCGCGGCCCGCCGGGCGGGGGCGGGGGCGGTCCGCCGCCCGCCGAACCCGAGGTGCAGCTCATCAAATTGCAAAAGTCCAACACCGGCATGGGCCTGAGCATCGTGGCCGCCAAGGTAAGAACGCCGGAGTGTCGACGTTTTTTCATGTCAAGAGGCGGTCAGTCGAACTTCTTGTCTCACATTGTGATGCTCATTTGTTTATGCTGCGTGAAAAGGTACCTATTCTTTTATTGTAATACGATTTATCTCTATTTTCCCAAAAACCTATATCGTCACTGGTTCATCACAAACGTCCCCCTTCCGCTCCCCGTTCCGTCCAACAGGGCCTGGGCCAGGAGCAGGCGGGCATCTACGTCAAGTCTGTGGTGCGCGGCGGCGCGGCAGACCTGGATGGGAGACTGGCGGCCGGGGATCAGCTCTTAGAGGTGGACGGACACAGCCTGATCGGCATCACCCAGGAACAGTGAGTGATGTATTTATAGTGGACGGACACAGCCTGATCGGCATCACCCAGGAACATTGAGTGATGTATTTATAGTGGCCGGCATGACAGCCTGATCGGCATCACCCAGGAACAGTGAGTCTGGGGAAGGGAAGGAGGGGAGGGTAGGTGGCAGGCACGGCCTGATCGGCATCACCCAGGAACAGTGAGTCTGGGGAAGGGAATGGGGGTATGGGAGTAGCTCAGGTGGACGGACGATCACAGTATAACCTGGGAACATGAGTGGCACACGACGTGGTGCGAAGGAAAAGGCGAGCAGTAATGCCGGGTGTGGTCAGGGCTCGACGGAATTGCTGTGATGATGTGGCCTTTGTAAAAGTGTGTATTTTTGTACTGGTGGCCCTAAAATCGTCATGCCCAATGACTACATCGAACCATGGAACTCCCTTCAGTAGAATAAATGAAACACATAAAGTATAATAAACAAAGTGTTGCTAACGTATTGCCAGCAGTGCTAACCGCAGCTGTTGTTCTGGTATTGCGGCAGCACTGTGAAATCCTGTCGGACTCTGCGACTATAAATTGGATCCACCTCCACCAGTGTGCGCGCTTCGTTCCATCCACCCTTCCCCTCCCACCATCCTTTCAGCCTGCCCCTCTGACTGTAGGGGCGTTCCACGACAAATCGACAAATAAAAAATTAAATTTGCACCCTCATATTTTATTTTTTGTTGAAAACTGGTGTAAGGGGTTGTGATGGGCGGGGAAGCCAGCTGTGGCAAGGATTTTTTTCTTCGAACAACGGTTTCCGAGATATAGCCTCGGGCAATTCCAGCAGGTCGCGCTGCAGCCCTATGTTTGGCGGCCTATAACTCAGAAACTATTGGTTTTCTACGATAAAAACTTTATATGGTTCAACTCACAATCAGCCAACAAACATTTTGGCTATCTCGGATTTTCAATTTTTGAAAATTTTGATCACGTGACCTTTTGACCCATTTTTCGAAGAGTGACCTTGATATTTTCCCCACTGAAAGTTGCAATTTTGTCTGATGACGATTAAAGCCTTATCAATTGTCATTCATATGCGAAAATAAAAAAAGTGGATATCGCCCTGCGTTGACCTCAGGTCAGGTCATTTTTATGACCTGTCCATTATTACGAGCGGGGGCGACAGCGAGATCTCGAGAATAAAGCAAGATAGCGACAAGCGGTAAACGGTGCAGGGTACACACGGATAAGGTCTATAATTTTTACTAAGGTCATTTTCAGGTCAGGTCAAAGATGACGTCACAGGAGCAAAAAGGAAGTCAAAATTGCGGCACTACATATATATGAAGTTTTTCTCGAATAACTTTCAAGGTATCCCATCTAGGAACAAACTAATAGCACCATCGTGATCCTCTCGTCGATCCGCATCGAAACATATGTATTTTGACCTCAAAAAGTCGAAAGATCAAAAGTTGAACTTAGGTCACGTGACGTGGGGAAGCGACAGCGAGATCTCGAGAATAAAGCAAGATAGCGACAAGCGGTAAACGGTGCAGGGTACACACGGATAAGGTCTATAATTTTTACTAAGGTCATTTTCAGGTCAGGTCAAAGATGACGTCACAGGAGCAAAAAGGAAGTCAAAATTGCGGCACTACATATATATGAAGTTTTTCTCGAATAACTTTGAAGGTATCCCAGCTAGGAACAAACTAATAGCACCATCGTGATCCTCTCGTCGATCCGCATCGAAACATATGTTTGTTGACCTCGAAAGGTCGAAAGGTCAAAAGTTGACCTTAGGTCACGTGACCTAAGGTCAACTTTTGACCTTTCGACCTTTCGAGGTCAACAAACATATGTTTCGATGCGGATCGACGAGAGAATCACGATGGTGATATTAGTTTGTTCCTAGCTGGGATACCTTGAAAGTTACTCGAGAAAAACTTCATGTAGTGCCGCAATTTTGACTTCCTTTTTGCTCCTGTGACGTCATCTTTGACCTGACCTGAAAATGACCGTAGTAAAAATTATAGACCTTATCCGTGTGTACCCTGCACCGTTTACCGCTTGTCGCTATCTTGCTTTATTCTCGAGATCTCGCTGTCGCCCCCGCTCGTAATAATGGACAGGTCATAAAAATGACCTGACCTGAGGTCAACGCAGGGCGATATCCGCTTTTTTTATTTTCGCATATGAATGACAATTGATAAGGCTTTAATCGTCATCAGACAAAATTGCAACTTTCAGTGGGGAAAATATCAAGGTCACTCTTCGAAAAATAGGTCAAAAGGTCACGTGATCAAAATTTTCAAAAATTGAAAATCCGAGATAGCCAAAATGTTTGTTGGTTGATTGTGAGTTGAACCATATAAAGTTTTTATCGTAGAAAACCAATAGTTTTTGAGTTATAGGCCGCCAAACATAGGGCTGCAGCGCGACATCCAGGAATTGCCCGAGGCTATATCTCGGAAACCGTTGTTCGAAGAAAAAAAATCCTTGCCACAGCTGGCTTCCCCGCCCATCACAACCCATTAGACCAATTTTAAGCAAAAAATAAAATATGAGGGTGCAGGGCACTTGTCGATTTGTCGTGGAACGCCCTTGTATTAACCCCGCTCCTCTCACTGACAGGGCGGCCGAGTACATGATGAAAACGGGTCCGGTGGTGCTGCTGCGCGTGGCCAAACAGGCGGCTGTCTACCACCGGCTGACGGCGCTACTCTCTCAGCCGTCACCCACCATGTCCAGAGGTGAGAGATGACGTGTCCAGAGGTGAGACAGGCGTGTCCAGAGGTGAGACTACTCTCACAGCCGTCACCCACCATGTCCAGAGGTGAGACAGGCGTGTCCAGAGGTGAGAGACGATGTGTCCAGAGGTGAGAGACATGTCCAGGGGTGTGACCACTCTCTTAGCCCTCACCCACCATGTCCAGAGGTGAGAATATAGGCGTGTCCAGAGGTGAGAGACATGTCCAGGGGTGTGACTACTCTCACAGCCGTCACCCACCATGTCCAGAGGTGAGATAGACGTGTCTAGAGGTGAGAGAGGCGTGTGCAGAGGTGAGAGACATGTCCAGGGGTGTGACTACTCTCACAGCCGTCACCCACCATGTCCAGAGGTGAGATAGGCGTGTCCAGAGGTGAGAGACGTGTCCAGGGGTGTGACTACTCTCACAGCTATCAACTACAATGCTCACAGACGCGTTATGAGGTAAGAGACGCTACCTGGGTTCCCTAGCTGTTCATAGCTCCTTTTATACCGTAATATGCCGTACACGATTTACAAAGTGAGGTACTTTATGGTCAGCCCGGCCCTTCCCATTCCCCACTGAGTGACGCCTGTCTCGTCGTGTGCCGCAGGGAGCCGACGTGCCAGTGAACGTGGTGGGATGCCGCCCACGGGCCGCATCCAGAGCGCAAAGTCCGTGCCGGCGCTTAGCTGTGAGTACTGGCTGGCGAACGGGCGGGGATGTCGATGATACCCATTGAAAGGCGAAACACAAAGGAGGCTATTCGGGAAAAGCATTTAGCTGCTCAGCTACAGTCGCATTCTGTGCTATTATATGCATTGATATTCTATTGGTCACACTGTGGTGCAACAACTGAAAGATGCTGCATTTTATGCTTTGTTTATAGTCGCTATTGATCAGCTAACCGCCTCTGCTCTTCCCCAGCGGACGGCGGGGACCGCGGCGGCCCGATGGCCGGCGTCAGTCGCGGCCACCAGGAGACCTACAACCCCGGCTTCAGCCTGTCGGCGTCCAACGCCAGCCTGGCGGCACTGCCGGGCCCCGGCGCGCCGACCGCCGCGCACGCCCGCTCGCGCTCTGTGCAGAACCTGCACAAACCGGGCGGTCCGGCCGGCGGCGGGCCCGGCCCGGCCCCGGGGCCCGCGCCGCCGCCCCGGCCCATCTCCGTGCACGCCCACTATCAGCAGGGACAGCCCGGGCAGATGCCGGGACAGATGCTGGGACAGGTGAGGGATGAAACGGACGCCGTGACTGCAAGATTAAGTCATGGTGTAAATTGACCACAATGGTGTAAAATAATTGGTTATTGTTCGTATTCTACCGAAGGTATAAAAGTGAAGACGAATATTGACAATTTCTAATTGAAAACAAGGAAGGCATGAAATTGAACACATGTATGCCATTGGTTGACCCTTTTAAAGTATTTGCTTCATTTTATTGTGTTCATTTATTGTGACGTCATGCTACCTGATGACGTTCTCGCATCTGTCTAACTATAATTTTGGTGACCCATTTGGTTTAAAGCTAGTTTCATAATTCATCTGTCGATCACGTTTGGCTGATCTTACACCTCGGCTCACGTCCAGCTCCCCGCGGTGTCCTCAGATGCCGGGTGGGCCGCGTTCGGAGATGCCCCGCTCCGTCTCCGAGCATGAGCACCTGCGGTACCGGCACTCCAGCGCCACGTACAGCAACACGGGCCCGGGCGCGTTCGAGCCGCCGCGGCCAGCCGGACCGGACCGGCCGTACAGCGAGCAGCTCTCGCCGGGTCTGGGGCCCGAGCCGGGCGGCCGCGGCGGCCCCGGGCCCGCGGACAGGCCCCCGGCGCACGGCGGCGCGCCGGGCAACGGACTGATGTACGGCGAGCGGCCGCCTCACGGCTCCGCCGAGGGTATGACAGGGTATGGGTATGAGCGGCCCGTCTCAGCGCACGGACCTCCCGATGGAGGTATGGCGCCGTATGGGGACCGCCACGAGCGGCCGCTACCCCCACACGGCGCGTCGAACGGAATTTCACAGCACGGCGACCGGCCGCTGCCGCCGCCCCACTCCAGTGCCAACAGCGGTGTGTTGTCCTATGGGGACCGCCCGCCGCCGCCTCACAGCAGTGCCAACAACAGCGTGTTATCACAGTACGGCGACAGACCGCTGCCCCCGCACTCCAGCGGCGGCGCGCTGCCCTACGGCGATCGGCCGCCGCCGCCCCACTCCAGTGCCGGCGGGATGCCCGGGTACGGGGAGCGGCCCCTGCCGCCCCACAGTGCGGCCCCCGCGTCACCGGCGGCACCGCCGGACCGGCCCCCACTGCCGCCACACAGCGCCGCCGGCGGCGCGCCGCTGTCGTCTCCGTACGGCGAGCGGCGCCCGTCGGGCCCGGAGCCGATGGCGCAGCGCCGCCGCAGTCGCACCGAGAGCTTCTCGGACCTGCCGCCTCCGCCGCCGCCCGCCTCGGCCGCTCCCGCGGTGCGGTTCGAGGAGCCGCCGCCGGCGCGGCCGCCGCCGCCCCAGGAGCTGTACGGCGAGCCGCTGCCGCCGCCGCCGCCGCCGGCGCAGACCCACCCGCTGTACGGCCAGCCGCCGCAGCGACCGCCGCCGCCGGCGCAGCAGGCTGGGTATGACGCCGGAAACCCGTGGACGCGCGAGGAGCGAGAAAAGGTGGGTGCAGGGAACCGAAGGCTGGGGAAAACCAGCCGGTCTGTGGAAGGGCCTGGCCATGCATGCTTTGACTGTCAATGGTAGGCCCCTTTTCAAGATCCCGCTTTTGCATAAAGTTTGCTGCAGAATACAGCTCTGAATGAAGGGACTTGTCCGTTGCGGAGTAAATATTTCAGACTATCTTACCAAGTTGTCTGATCATGAATCTGATGATGTACTGGCTCACTATTATCAATCTCGCGCCCAGTCACGTTCTTCGCGCTGTTAGCCGTCTCTTTCTAACCGCCCGCCCGTCCCGTTCCACAGCAGGAGGAGAACCGCAAGAAGGAGGTGGCCCGCAAGTACCGCGACCAGCTGATTGAGTACCTGGAGGGACTGCCGAACCGCTCCCGCCGCGAGCAGGAACAGCTGCAGGCGCTGGTGCTTGAGAAGCGCTTCCAGGAGCGCTGTGACCTCGGCGGCGATGACGATGACGAGGATGAAGATGATGATGATGATAACCAGGTATGTTTGACAGCGATGATGAATGATCGTATTGGTGAATTTTTATTGAAATGGTTAGCATGATGACCCGGTACGTTTGGCATCGAATAGTAGAGTATGACGCCATGACTGTATTTTGATAAGAATGGTTAAATGAGTCAGGGTGACGGTTAGATGGGCCAGGGGTTGTTAAATGTTTTTACGTCGATTGTCCAGTGTGTTAGAAACACCTGGAAGTGAGCTCGACTAACATGAACTGACCCTCTCCCAGGAGATGAACAACTCGCGCGCCGACTCAGACGTGCCTCCGCCGCCGCCGTCCGAGCAGCCGCCGGCTCTGCCGAGCTCTGAGCAGCCGGAGCGGCCGCCGGCGCCGGGGGCCGGCAGTCGAACGGACGAGGTGCGCCGGCGCCAGGCGGAGCTGGAGGCCGCCCAGCAGGCGGAGCAGGGCATCCTGCGCGAGGCGCAGCGGCGCCGCCAGATAGAGGAGGACCGCCAGCGCCGCCAGATGGACGAGGACAGGCAGCGGGTGGCGGCAGCCACGGCGGCGGTGGCGCGCGCGCGCGCTCAGCCGGCCGCGCCGCCGCCGCCCGGCCGCACCGTGTCGTTCGGCGCGGTGACCACGGCCGGTGAGCTGCGGCCGCCGGCCGTGCCGCCCAAACCCGAGGTGGCCGTGGCGTCTGTGGTGAGCACGCGGCGCGTGCAGCTGAACGAGCCGGCCGGCACGCCGCCGCCGCCGCTGCAGCCGGCCGGCGGCGGTCGACACCACGACCCGGACCGGTTCATTGACGAGGCGCGACAGATGATGGCCGCTACCAGCATCTCGCCGCCCGAGGGACCCACCTCCTCCAGTGTGGACGCCAGCGCCACGCCAGGCGTCATCGGCGCCCAGGAGGTGTACAGGTGAGACTGGACGGCCGGCCCTTATGGCCCCAGCCATAAGGCGGGACCGGAACTGTGATGCAGGACGGGCATCGTGAGACGGAACTAGGACCGGGTATGGTATCTCTGAACTATAGGTCCAGGTGCGAGGAAAGGACTGGTGTGCGAAGGAACTACTTAGGAGAGATTGAATGGTGAGAATAGGAAATGGAGGGAGGTTGGTATCTCATCTTCATCTTCATGTTATCGGGGCAAGAGGCACGATGTCCTGTAGGGCCCGTTCTCGCCCATTTCCTTAACTTCAATCTGTTCTCAGTCGGTAGCAGGAATGGAGTACCAGATCGACTCCCAGTACGCATCCAGCCTGTTCTTAAAGATGTTAACTGATGGTGAGTGTACAACATCTGCTGGAAGTCCGTTCCAATCATTTATACACCGTACAGAAAAAGAATTCATTCTAGCACGGCAGGTTGCGCGGGGCTTGCGAAGCTTCAGCGGGTGACCTCGGGTTCGACTTTCAGGGTTCGTTGCCAGAAGCTCTGAAGGATCGGTGTCAACATGGCCGTGCAGCATCTTGTATACGTGAATCATATCCATACGTCTTCGCCGATAGTACAGCGACGGGAGCTTCAGTCTCTTCAGTCTTTCAGGATATGGGAGGTGGCGGATGCTCACCACTAACCGGGTGGCTCTTCTTTGGACCCTCTCAACTGCCTTCTGATCCGCTCTATTGAAGGGACCCCAAACAAGACTGCTGAACTCCAGGTGTGGCCGCACGAGAGATTTGAACAGAAGAGGCAGGGTGAATTCATCTAAAAAGGCGAAGGACCGGCGGATGACCGCAAGAACTTTAGACGCTTTAAAGACCGCCGTTGACGCTTGCTGTCGAAACTTCAGGAGTGAATCAACTTGCACTCCCAGGTCTCTCTCGACTGACGTGTTTGTCAGTCTGGCCGACCCCATTTGAAATGAGTGGTGATCCTTGGCTGCACCGACATGAAGTACCTTGCACTTGTTTTCGTTAAATGGCAGCTGCCAAATTCTAGACCATTCGACGAGGGCGTCCAGGTCTGCCTGCAGAGTTCGTATATCATGTTCAGAAGAAATGCCTGAGAACAACTTTGTGTCGTCGGCAAACATTCGCACATTTGAAGTGACAGCATCTGGCAAGTCATTGACATAAAGAAGGAAGAGCAAGGGTCCCAACACTGAGCCTTGGGGCACCCCACTCCGCACAGGGACCAAGTCAGACAGGTTTCCATATAGGGACACTTGCTGCATTCTGTCTTCCAGGAACGATTCAACCCAAGACAACACTTGATCACCAAAACCGTAACAGCGCAGCTTGCCTATCAGTCTCTTGTGTGGGACGGAGTCAAACGCCTTGCGGAAGTCGAGATAAATCACTTCGACCTCCGTCTTTTCCTCCAGCAGACGGCTCCATGAGTCGATAGAGTCCAGAAGCTGTGTGTCGCAAGACCGCCTGGGGCGGAAGCCATGCTGGTCCTTGCACAGGAGGTCATTTGACAGCAAATGATCCATTAGACAATCACGGATGAGCGACTCAAGAATCTTGCAGGGCACAGATGTGAGGCTGACAGGTCTATAGTTCCGTGGGTCTTCCTTTTCACCTTTCTTAAAGATGGGTATGACTTTACCGTGCTTCCAGTCTGAAGGAATAGACCCCGTTTCAAGCGACTTTCTGAATAGTAGGGTCAAGGGAAGAGAGAGAGGGCCACTTAACTCCCTTAAAAGGCGGGGGTGAACGCCATCAGCTCCTGGGGCACTATTGGGGTTGAGTGCTTTAAGCTTTCTCTCCACTGTGAAGAGGCTGACTGGTATATCGACCAGCAACGGTCCCGTATAACGGTTTTCTAGCTGCGGTACAACATCCGTTTTTTCAATAGTGAATGCGCCTGAAAAAACGTCATTTAAGAGCGAGGCCTTCTCTTTTTCCTGGCTCACAAGTTGGCCCTGGTCGTTTCGTAGATCACCAATATTTGGTTTAACTTTTCGGCGGCTGTTCACATATTTCCAAAACGCCTTCGGGTTTACTTTAATGCTCGCTGATATCTTACATTCAAAGTCTTTCCTTAACTGGCGAGTCAATGTTCTAAGCTTATTTCTACAAATCTTGTATCTGCTATAGTCGACCGGATCTTGCGTCCTCATGTAAACTGACCACAGTAACTTCTTCTTTTTCTTGAGGTTTAGAGAACGGCTATTCATATAAACGTTCTTTTTTGAGTTCATGTTTTTTGCTTTGGGTATGCACTCACTCATATGCTGCTACTATGCTGCTACTATGCTGCTACTATGTGCTTGTGTTAGTCATGGTGAAGAGGACAGGGAAGTCAGTGTGAGCTGCTTTACTGAAGAGGAGACTTGCATGGAGACATGAGACTTGCAGCTGCAGCAGGTTTCAATTTTATTACGGAGCGAGCGAAGCGAGCGGAGTCTTACGTAGAATAACGGAAATTTCTGAGTATGAGCGGCCGGCCGGCCGGCCGGCCGGCCGTGGTCACGATTCTGCGACGCTTATATCTCAGCAACCACTTGACCGATTTACATGCGGTAATTTTTGTAGGGTAGCTTCATTCCTTCTACCAAGTAGTGGACGATTCCCGATGCATGTGGGTGACCCCTTATGCACGTGCCACGTGCAAAACGAAGAGGTGTCACTTTTGTAATTGTTGCAATATCTCGGTAACTACTTGGCCGATTGCGCTGAAAGTTGGCATGCAGGTAGGCACCCACTAGGCAATGCATATCCATGTGCCGGAGTTGGGGTGCTGCTGCACGTGCGCACGTGCAGGGGTCGATTCCAGATCTCGAGAACGGCTGGACCGATGGCGCTCAAATTTGGTACATGGCTAGGGACCAGTTAGTAGGGTGCCGTGCAAAAGTCAGTTGGGACCCATTTTGCACGTGCGCACGTGCAGGGTGCCGCATCCAGATCTCGAGAACGGCTGGGCCGATTGTGCTCAAATTTGGCACATCGCTAGAGACCGGTTAGTAGGGTGCCGTGCACAAGTCAGCTGGAGGTACCCCCTCGAAATTTCGCACGTGCAAGGCTCACCCTCTCGCTCGCTCCGTTAGTCGCCCCCAAAAGGCGTTATGCTGGTTTATTATAATTGCCGGCCTTGTCTGTAAGTAAGCCTTGTCTTATCATTTCCTGAGCATTGACTGATCTGAGCGCCCGCTCCGCCATCATCGTGCCTGTGTAAGACTGCCGAGTTCATCGTCGATGTCATGTCATACTCCTTGCGCCGTGCCTCGTGAGCCCTGCCCCACCTAGCCGGCTCTGACCCCTCCCCCCGCGCCACAGAGACCCGCGCACTCGGCGGCTGGCACTGATGCAGGACCGCCAGCCGGAGCACTCTCCCGTGCCGGAGAAACTCTCCTTCAAGGAGAAGATGAAGATGTTTGCTGCCGAGACCGGCTAACGCTGCGCAGCTGCCCCCGAGACCAGGCGGCGCCGAGAGAGGACGCGGAGGAAGAGAGAGTGAGCTTCTCACCACTAACCCCACACAACACACCACTAACCGGCCGGCCGGCCGACCAGGGCGGCAGCTTGTGATCGAGACTGGCGAGTGCCGCCGTCGCTTCATCCGTCCGTCTGTTAGAGAGAATAGCGTCTATTTTACACAGTGCATATCATCATATACCGCCCGCCGGCGGCGGCTGCGGTGGGTTGTGATGCAAGGGGTGTCCGGCCGACTAGTTTGTAGCGAGCTGAGGCGCCGGGCTGCTGGACCTCCGCGGGCCCTCGGGGACCCGCATGGGCCCTGCCGCCGAGAACGTCAGTCTGTGTCGATGTCCGTGACATTTGTGGCCTTTCATATTCAGATGGATGATTTGACGAAGATGGGAAGTCGCGAGGTTTCGATGAGATTCATGCATTGGCAGATCATGGTACTTTTAAACCCTATGGACGCTAGGCGGCTGTATGAAGTTCTAATGCTCCGCAGAGGATCAGAATACGCGGCCCGTCCTTTCGCTGTGTAATCCGCCGAGTCGTTGACGGCGCCACGCTGGCCGCTCTAGTTTTGTATGCTCTTTATGGTGGATCATATCGTGTATAGCTGGGGCCGCGTGGGGTCCAGAGGACTGCGAACATGGAACGTAAGCAGCTGTGCGGAGCCGCCCGCGGTCAGCTGTGATGTAACCCGGGCTGAACCGGACGCAGCTGTGTTTTACAGGCGACTACGGGGGAGAAATGACCGCTAAATTTGTAGATATGTGGTAGCTTGGTGACGAAACATTTTTATCGAGAGTAGTTTGATGTTTAGAGAACACATTTTATCGAAAGTACTTGGCTGTACGCCCGTCGGTGCGTTCTGTGACGCTTCCTGTGCCCAGAGGTGCCTATCGTCGGGCGGTTTCCGAGGCGTGCCTATTGTTGGCAGTGTCGTATGTCCCAGAGGGGTGCCTACCGTTGGCAATGTCGTGTGCTGAGAGGGGTGCCTAATGCCTATCGTTGGCAGTGTCCTGTGCTGATGGTACCGTGGCTGTAAGTAGGCAGCTGCTGTGGGGCAGATAAGAGACCCAGGGGATGTACAGAGATTCGTGACGCCTGACGGGCCCAGGACAAAATATATCTCATGAATGCCCATCGATAGTGTTTGGACTGGGGTTGTGGGGGAAAGTTTTGAAACGTAGTTATTAAGTACTGAGCTCGACTGCCTATGTTGACGGTTTCTCATCACAGCACCACAGATAAGCCTCTGACGTCTGGTGCATTTTGAACAGTAATCGGGTGCGGAACAAACCTAACATCTCGCAAGAAGCAAGCTATGCCGCGGCACCCGGTTCCGATTGTCCAGTCTACATTGCCTACATTTGGCTAGTCTGAAACGAAGTCATTTAATAACAGCAAATGCTTGAGTCATCACAGCCCGAGCCATACCCGAGTATCGATCTCGATGAGTATCAGTGCTGACTGCGAAAACCAGTCACTTCTAGAAGACAGAGCGGCAGTTTCGGTGTTTATTGTTTCGTTCAGCCGGGCCGACCCTCGGCACAGCCCACACTGAACTCATGTTCTTTGTTCCGCTACAGTTCGGGTACAGAAAGACAGCCAAACCCCTCCCACAACAGCAGTTCCTGGTTCAAACGTCCACATTGCTTAGTAGACGGGGAGAGGGGTCACGGAAAGACAAGTGCTCGGCGACTAGGCGGTATCATATTCTACAAATGCAGTCAAACATGCATGACATATTATCTCTGGTAATAGCGACTACACACAGATGAAATGGTACGACTGTGTAGCCAGTCTCCGTGAAGTGCTTATTTCTATTGTCAGAAACGCCCCCTATCTTAGCCCAAGCGCTGTGGGTTGGAAGCATGCAAGCGAATCAGCGCAATATTATGCGCCCTAAACCATAACACAACTATTGGAGTCGGAACGCAACCGGTAGTAAGAACAGTTAAAAAAAGTCCTAAAAACCGTTCAAACGGCATGCATGTGTCCAGTTGCCCGAAATAGTGGGTAGAAGCTCTTAAAACGACTTACATGTAGAACTTATCTAGAGTAACCTAGCAAACTGACTACTGCTTACCAGCATTACCAACGCAGTTACCACCCAACGTCTGGATATCTACGACTTTCAGCAAACTTTACCAGCATACAAAACACGGCACACCACACGATATTCGCTAATGCTAAACACAAGCCAGTACCTAAGCTTATCGATGAAACAATTGCAAGTCGTAATTTTTAGGCGGAACGAATTTTATGTTCAGAAACACCAAGAAGACTTGTCGGATTCACGAAATGTAACTGTACCTGAATTATCTTTTAGCTTATCTGCCGTACAATAACCTGGAAGGTGCCAACTCAAGCTTAAACCATCTTACGTAACAGAAAGAAGGCCAAGAGACAACCCAAAACATGACAACCTGTATCAGATCGCGTCAGACTCTATCGTTAAAGTGGCATTAACACTAAACTCAAGCTAGCCTAGCACCGTATCAATCACATCCATTTCCATCAATACCACATCCACCTTCTTCAAGAGACCAGTATAGTTAGGTACACATTAAAAAATGACTTATAAGTCGCAGGACGACCCTAAGTTAGCGCAGTACGCTCTCACACAGTCCTCGTATTCACCTGAGCGCTAGTATTTCTGTCCGCGCTCGCGAAACTCGTGCCGATTACGGCCTCCAAAGTGCTTCCAGTGATTCTCCCGCACCTTGCGGTCGATCTTGACCGCGTGGCGGTGCACCGTTTTCTGTATTCTATCGTGAAACCGGGCGCTGGCCGCCATGTGCCGGGCCAGCCGCGCCGCGTGGTCTTCATAATCGTCATCGTCGTCATCATCATCGTCGTCGCGGTCATCATCGTCATCTGCGGCGCTCCACTCGTGGCGCTGCTGCTGCTCGTGACGCCATCCTCCGTCCGTGCGCGGCGCCTCCTCGCCGCGGCGGCCGGCGCGCTCCTGGCGCCATCTCTGGTCGACCGGCGGCACCGGCGCCTCCTCGCCGCGCCGCTGGCGGAGCTGCTGGCGCGCCTGAGCCCGCTCCAGCAGCCAGCTAGCGCCGTGGAACGCGCCGCGCATTTCAGCGCGCGACTTACCGCGCTCCATCTGCCAGTTGTCGGCGGCGTCCTCCCCGCGCGCGTGCTGCCGATGGCGCGAGCGGCGCGCGTAGTAGGCCGCCACGGACGGGTCGGAGGCGTTGGGCGGCGGACCGGCGGGTCGCTCCGGCTCACCGGCCGCCTCCTGATTCGGTTCCGGCCGCTGCTCCGCCTCGCGGGCGGCCACCTTGCCCTCCCAGTTGCGGCGGATCTCTTGCCAGCGCGCGTCCAGCTTGGCCACCACCTTATCCACCTTCCTGCCCAGTTTTCCTGCCACTTTCTCCATCCTCCCGCCACCCACGTCGTCATCCTGCATCATGTCCTCTCCAAACTGCTGCACCTTGTGCATCGCCTTCAGCAGGGTCTTCTCCACCTTGGCCAGCGTCTTACCGGCCATCTGGACGTACTTGCTGGCGGGCTCTGCACGACTGAAGTCGCTCGCCTCCTGCCACAGACTCCAGAGTCGGTGACGGGCCTCCTGGAGAGGTACGCTACCCGGAGCTGGGCGCCAGCTGAGTAGAGCGGCCAGCAGACCCTCGTCCGCAGACGAGTCGTCGTCCATAGAGTCAGAGGCCGAGCCGGCGGAGCCATAGTCAGAGTCGGCGGAGTCGGGGTCAGAGTCGGAGAAGGTGGTGAAGGACGCCTCGGAGTCGTCGTTGGAGTAGGCTGAGTCAGCAGAGTCGATAGAGTCGGCCTGGTAGGCGGCCGGCGCCAGAAACTCGGGCGAGTCGCCGGCAGAGTCAGAGTCGGAGTCGATAGCGCGCTCTGACTCGGTGATGGTTGGCTGTCCTGCAGAAGGTGCCGGATCATCCTCCTGAAAACAGCACAGTGGCATGGTGTCAACAGGCGCTCGCAGAACTGAAAGTAAGTATTATTAAGTACCTTGGCCAACATGATCGCAACGCAAAGTTTTTCCCTGGCTCCAGTGCGCCACAATAGGTACGGAATCTGAGAGTTTAGCTGACCTCATCTGTAGAACCAAAGCTAGCTTGTGGTACCGTACCCGGTTTTGGTGCCCTGCCTTCTTTGTGGTTCCGGCCGCAGGTAACTCGTCTGGTATATACCGGGTGGCCCATAAAAAACGTTCCGAACTTTGGAGTCCTATATCTCAAATTCGAGTGCGAATAACGAGCCAAAATTTTCATCAAGTCTGCGTCACTTCTTTGCGCATTGGTATACCAAATTATAACACTGTACCATCATTTTCAAGCCAGCAATCTTATGTTGAATTAAGTAAGACATTTTTGCTTTTTTTGCCGTTGTTGAACGGTAGTACCTACCTAATGATTGGCTTAGACGTACCATGTTAGAAAAAAGAAATAGAAAAATAGAACACGTGAATGATACCAGCACGTGTGTTGTTATTTTTAATATTTTTGTCCCACTTATGTGCCAAATATCCAAATACTAAGCAAAAATTGTGTTAATGGATGCCATTCGTTTCAACACAAGTCCTGTTTCGAGGAGAAGGAGTGGCACGGTGCATGGGATAAGGAAAAAAGCTAGAGGGAAAGTGTCACCCTGAGGCCTGAACCATCAATGAGACTAGTGCCAGTAGCAGTCATGGCTGCAGGCCGTGGTGCCGTGATGGAAGTGGCCCGTTCACTGACATTTTTAGTAAACATCTGAGCAAAAAAGTGATTTTTACATGGCATGCTAGAAACACGAGCCGTTTAAAAAGTAACTAACCGAATAACATAAATATCACACCATTTACTGAAAATATATGCCGCATTGATTATTGGAAGTTTCAATGTTGTATCTTTATCACTTTCTGAGAAATATTGATTTAAAATTGGGAACGTTTTTTTCTGGGCCACCCGGTATAACATATCTGGCCTGGTGCACCGTACACTGTGAGCTGTACCAGCTGCTCTGTGATACCGAACGGCGGCTGAGGTACCGTACCTGATCTGCGACTTATGCACAGGGTTTGATAGTACGCTATTTACCTGATCTGTGATACCGGCCGGCGGCTGCAGGTAGCGCGTCCGTCGCAGCTCCCTGGCCAGCTCGCCATTCTCGGTGACCAACTGGTTGATCTTGTCCCGGTGCCGCCGCAGCACATAGCCGTCCTGCCGTCAAAGGAAGAAACAACAGTGGAAGTGTTAAAGTCATAGCAGAGACAATGACCAACTGGTTGATCTTGTCCCGGTGCCGCCGCAGCACATAGCCGTCCTGCCGTCACGGGAAGAAACAACAGTGGTGTTAAAGTCATAGAATAGCAGAGACAATGACCAGCTGGTTGATCTTGTCCCGGTGCCGCCGCAGCACATACCCGTCCTGCCGTCACGGGAGGAAACAACAGTGGTGTTAAAGTCATAGTATAGCAGAGACAATGACCAGCTGGTTGATCTTGTCCCGGTGCCGCCGCAGCACATAGCCGTCCTGCCGCCACGGGAGGAAACAACAGTGGTGTTAAAGCCATAGAATAGCAGAGACAATGACCAGCTGGTTGATCTTGTCCCGGTGCCGCCGCAGCACATAGCCGTCCTGCCGTCACAGTAAAAACCGCAGTAGTGTTAAAGTCATACAATAGCAGAGACAATGACCAGCTGGTTGATTTTGTCCCGGTGCCGCCGCAGCACATAGCCGTCCTGCCGTCACATAAAGAAACCACAGTGGTGTTAAAGTCATAGAATAGCAGAGACAATGACCAGCTGGTTGATCTTGTCCCGGTGCCGCCGCAGCACATAGCCGTCCTGCCGTCACAGGAAGAAACCACAGTGGTGTTAAAGCCATAGTATAGCAGAGACAATGACCAGCTGGTTGATCTTGTCCCGGTGCCGCCGCAGCACATAGCCGTCCTGCCGTCACGGGAAGAAACAACGGCGGTTTGAGCCGGGACGCAGCATGATATATCACACGTATAATAATTGAAACGTATATCAGACACAATAGTCTCTATGGCGTCAAATTACAACGCACAGAGCCCCGCGCCACTGAAGGCTCACCTGTGAGGAGGTTCCGTAGCGCATTTTGGCGATGTTGGCCTTCAGCTCGTCGTTCTCCATCCTCAGCTGGTTCACCTGGTCCCGGAGGCGGGCGTAGCCGGCTGGAAAATATGTCACAGGTCACGCTCATAGGCCACGCGCGAGGGTCACATTAACTACAGGTCACATAAGTGGTCACTCAGTTCACACTGGCCGGCCGGTCATCGGTCAAAATCACACACAGTCAGTCATAGGTCGCTGCCACATCGGGATAGTCCCACCCTCTGGCTGCAGTGAGAGCTACCTTCTGCTGCACCGCAACTCTACTGTGGTGCCAATGCTCAGTGAGACTGGTTAATGGAACGCCCTTTGCGCCGTTCTGTTCGGTGGGACTGGTGGATAACTGGTGGGTACACTGGTGGTTGGTGCTAGTGGTGGGTGGGACACAACCCTACCTTCCGAGCAGTACGAGCCGCCCTCTGCGCCGCTCTGTGGTGGGGTTGGTGGGACTAACGGGTTGGATTGGTGGGTGGGACTGGTGGGTGGGACTGGTGGTTGGTACTGGTGGTGGGTGGGACACAACCCTACCTTCAGAGCAGTGCGAGCCGCCCTCTGCGCCGCTCTGTTCCTCCTCGCCGTGCAGTTGTTGTAGCAGCGCCTCGTTTTCAGTCAACAGCTCCTTGATCCACTGCGGAACGAACGACATGAGGGAATTATTATTGGCCACTCCACTTTATACACTTTCACTTTACAATCAAAACCATGAATGCTCACGGTATCCAGCTCGTCCAAGTGAGGTAGGCATATCACATTGATGAGCTACGAATATTCATATTCACTACAAATGAACAAAAAACACAACTATAAAATCAGCTTGACTGACTTGTTTTGTACTGCATTCTCGAGAGAAAAAAGGCACAGTAATGCTGTAATGATTTCATTCATTCGCCCAACCGACCACTCTCCCCGGTTATTAAAAGACCACCAGTCCTACCTTGTTGTCCAGATCCTGGTCGTCCTCTGTGGTCATGCAGGTCATCAGGTCGTCCCGCAGCACGTCCAGCTTCTCGTCCAGCGTGTGGACGATCTCCTCCGTCATCTCGTGGTGGTGGAGCCACCCTGCCGCCGTGGGGAGGTCTCGTGTTACGCGAGGAAGGGCAGACAGAGGGTTGGCTTGAGGGTAGGGAAGGGAGCGGCAAGTAACGTAATACGTCGACAAACCACTGCAGTACCTAATTACTGACAAACATTATTGTGCAATGAAGAACTGATTCAGATGAGCTTTGTGAGCAATGTATCAATACACAATAACCCGACCTGCATGCACCCGACTACGACCTGCCACTCCCCAGTCTTGACCAACTTCCGGGCGGCTGGTCCCACTGACCGAGAAAGTGTCCCACTCCGAGTCCGAGCACGCAGGTGACGCACAGCACCAACACCACCGTCAGCAGGTGGTTCACCGTGTTGTTCCGCTGGTGCACGTACTGGCGCAGCCGGCCGGCGTCCGCCTCGTCCAGCACCATCTGTCGGCCGAAATAGCAACTATCAGTGCTGTACCGCAGCGTTCGTATTGTACAGCACCATCTGTCGGCCGAAATTGGAACTATCAGACGACGACGCCTGACTACTACAGGGCAATGCAAGGCACTGAGCAAAGTTATTGTCGTAGTTTCATCGCTGAATTAGTAACGAGGTGATTCAGTCACTTACGTTCAGAACCTTTGATTCGAAGCTTTACATTTTCACCGTTAAGGCGTTAGCCATAGACACGGAACGGAAAACCAACACAAATCAGACCACCGGCCCTCCCTCACTGTCTTTCATACTTGAGAGGAGATACAGAGCCCCCTACCTGCACATGACCTGAGCTGTCAGGGATAAATTTATGCTTCTTCTCCTATCTTTAGCACCGACCTGAGCTGTCCAAGGACACCGACCACTTTCTTCCCTTCTCCTATCTCTACCCTGATCAGTGACCAATAACACGTCACTATCGCCTCTCGCCTCCCTCCCTGTTCACCTGATCAGTGAGCGTCGACAGGTCGGTGTCGTCCGCCCAGCGGTCTCGGTCGCTGTCGGCCGGCACCGGCTGGACTGTCTGTCGGTGCGGCAGCGGCCCAGTCTCTGGTCCCTCCTTCTGGTCCTCACACTGACCCTCCCCCTGGTCTCTGGTCTGGTCTTTGGTCTGGTCTCGGTCCACGCCCCGGTCCTCGACGCTGTTCTGGGCGGCTCCCCGGCCGCGGCGCTGTCTCAGCACCGTCTCGGCAGGCAGGGCGCCCATCACCCGGACGGTCTCACTGCTGGAATCTTCTGAGACTGGGGGCAGAGGGCGGCGTATCAGAAATGTGTTATAAATGTGACAGGGAGATGGCAGCGAAGTATCGAGCAGGTTTCGAGCGAGGTGTCAGAAGCGTCGGAATCAATGACAGGTCAGAACAGTATCAATGAGGCATAAGGGAGACGTCAGGAAGGGTCGATGCCAGGGCTGCGGAGTCGGAGTCGGAGTCGGAGTCGGAGTCGGTCGGAGTCGACAGTTGTGACCGGAGTCGGAGTCGGAGTCGGAGTCGATATTGGAAACCCCAGCCGGAGTCGGAGTCGGAGTCACCGAAAATCTGTCGACTCCGCAGCCCTGCCAGGTGTGCGGAGTCGGAGTCGGTAGTTGGAGTCGATCGGAGTCGACATTTCTGCCCGGAGTCGGAGTCGGAGTCGGAGTTGTTGGTTTTTGAAAGCCAGAGTCGGAGTCGGAGTCGGAGTCGCCGTAAATCCATCGACTCCGCAGCCCTGGTCGATGCACCAGGTAGGCATTGCCAAGGCATACGGTATGTGTCAGAGAAGGAGCGAGTTTTTAGGTTAAGCCGTAATTTAACAATGATAGTTGAATAGTATAATATAACTTTCATCGCAATCCAGAGACATGTCAAAAGGAAGGAATACAGTTATCGTCGCGAGTGGGCTACTTTGTATGAAACACTTTCCTTTCCGTAAACACAACATGCATTCCCCCTAAAAAAAAAAAAACTAAGAGTCACTTACCATCCACGGTGAGGTCCATGGGATCGTCCTCAAAGTAGACATCGTCGGTGTGCTCGGCAGGGATCACCTCAATATCCGAGCCCTCCTCAACCCTGGCGGTCGATGGAGGAGCGGCGCCGGAGGTCTCCGCACCAGCAGAGACATCTGTGGGGTGAAAATGGAACTATAGGCTCTGGTCGGCGGTAGAGCGCGACAGGCTCGATAGTCGAGAAATACACACACAAACACCGAGCATTCGAGAAGGTAGCTTTCTAGCGTGGTTCTACATAGTTCTACATACTCAGCTGAGAATTATTAAATGAAAAATCGCATTCAATCTTAGTTCGCCACGCCGGCCCAAGCCTCATTTTTCACCTCGTCATGCGACCAGTGACACCTGCCCGTGTCGACGAAATTTCTCAAAGCTCACACGAGCCCGGTGACTGACACAAAGAGACAGACCACCGGTTCTCACGCCAGTCAGGTCAAAATCGGGAGCCGTGTAAGCCAACTACCTGCCGGCACGCCAAAGGCTTCCGCGAACGTCTCTTTGCAGTGTCAGCAAGCACGGAAAAAGCCCGGGCGCTCAAAAGTTAGGGAAAGGCAGCGGCAGCAGCTCAGTGCCAGTTAGAACATTTAGGCAGTCTGGCAGTCAGGTCACGTCAGGTGCCTTAGCGTGCTGGATGTGTAAATCAATAAATAAATCGCTGCTGAACCATGAATCGACCGGGTCAAAATTCAATCACGACTGACTGCTCATGACTGACGGGTCACGAGTGATGACTCACGACTGATGAGCGACGACTCACGAGTCTGACTCTGACTCACCGGTGCGCTCCACAACCGTCTTAGCCGACTCTCCGCTGGAGTCCATGGGCGAGCCGGGTGGCTCAGAGTCCGCTCCCGCCGGGGCCGGGGCGGGGGCGGGGGCGGGGGCGGACGGCTCGCCCCCGGCCGTCGCCAGGCTATCCTCCCCCTCTGTGGGTCAGACAAAGAACACAAACGGGTCAGACGGCTGGGATGGTAGTGTGGGGTTGAATGGGGTGCATGGAAGGAAAGGCAGATGCCAACAGGCAACAACGCTGGGTGTCTGACATTTAACTTAATTATAATCGCTGCATGCCTCTCACTATATTCGAAATCGAGCACCCTAGCCCAAGCCTACAAAGTGAATAATGCGAAATTCTTTTCGCGCAAATATCCGATTACGTTCGCCGTGCGCTGTTCCATTTAGTTCTAAAACATCTATCACAGCATATGACAATGCATTATCCGAATATTCTGGCCCAAACAACAAAAAGGCTCACTGTGTAAGGGTGGAAATAGGAAAAAAATCATGCCACAATTATCTGCCAGAGTGACGATGCGATACTGTGATAACTATCCGTCGCTAGATGGCGTTCCGATTCGTTTCACCACACTGGTAACGCCCCTCGCCTCCGGCTGACACCACACGCACCGGTTCAGCCACCAACAGCACCAATGGACGGGTGGGCAGCGGACCAGCCGACCTTGATCGGTAGCTGGAGCAGGCCGAGCGGGCAGCCGGGGTAGGCTGAAGCCTGAGAGCCAGTATACCTACGCTAGCCAGGAACCAGGGCAGTCAGTACCTACTGACTGGCAGGGGCAGAGGCAGCAGTAGCGGCGCACCGGGGAGGGGTATGGATTCGTGTCCGGGAGAGGGAGAGGGGGCGTGTCTGGTTACTTGAACCCGAGCCGATCCTAAGCCAGAGTCGTGTGTCCAAACGATGTCAACAAACACTGCGCTCTGCATCGCGCTGCAACATCCCAAAGATGACCAGTTTCTCGGCAGTTTTCAACAACATCCGTCCGCGCCGTTACATGCACCCTGCGACCTCCTGGGCTCCGCCCCTCCACTGACCCTTCCCCTCCTCCCACCGCCCCCTCCCCGCCAGTGGCCGCCTGCAGGCTCGTCGTGGCTCGCCCCGAGTCGCAGCCGCTGCCCGCTCGATATCGAGCTACTGCGGACAGTCGGACCGAGCAGCTGCAGTGAGGTCGGCCGGCCGCACCCAGTACCCGCCCACCGCCCTAGGGGGTTAGTGGCAGACGAGACGGCTGCCGCCCGTCCGTTCAGAGTTCACAGGCGTTCAGGGCCCAATGGCCAACGTCTCATTCCAGTGTCCTCAAGGTTCACCGCCTACCGATCAAGTTCACTGTCTACCGTCAAACATCCAACGTCTACCACCCAACGTTCGTCGTTCTTTGTCCAATATCTACCGGGTTATTCAGAATAAAGGCACACATTTGTTTTCTTCATAGAAGTGCAACAGCAAAAATACTGCATGCGCACGTGCTTATTTTTTACTTATCAATAAATGCTATTTTGTTTTGACTGGTCAGTGAAATGTGTTGAAGATGCTGCCATTCACACCAGACCAAAGAACACAACTCGTCAAATTCTACCTGGAAACAAAATCAGTCGTTCTCACCCAGCGCAAATGGAAGAAGTGTTTCCAGGCAAGAAAAGCACCCTCTCGGAAGGCCATCCTGAGCCTGACCGAGAAGTTCTTGGCAACTGGGAGCCTAGAAAACAACAAAAAGGGCAGATGCGGGGCTAAGCGTACTAAACGGACCCCAGCAACCGCCCAAAAGGCACGACAAATTTTGACTTCAGCCCCCAAAACGTCCCTAAAGCAGCTCAGCCAACAGCTGCGTTGTAGCTACAGCACCGCACAACGAATTGCGCGCACTGACTTGAAGTTGCGTCCGTACAAGATAAGTATCCATCAGAAACTTCGTGACTGTGATGAAAAAAGTCGCAAACGCTACTGTGCTTGGTTTAGCAGGAAATGCCACACTTCAAGTCGGTTCATCGAGAACATCTGGTTTTCAGATGAAGCGCACTTTCATTTGGACGGGCGTGTTAACAGCCAAAATTACCGCTACTGGGGTACTGAAGCACCAAGTGAGGTAGCAGAGAGGCCGTTGCACAGTAAAAAATGCACGGCTTGGTGCGCGATCAGTGCGCAGGGCATTTCCGGCCCCATTTGGGTGGAAGATAGCGATGGTAACGCCGCAACAGTCAACGCGGCGCGGTACCGCAAGATCCTGCAAAGATTTTGGAATGGTCTGCGCACTCGCTATCGCCACGCACCGGACCGGCTGAATGTACAGTGGTTCCAGCAAGATGGTGCGCCACCACACCGTGCAACAGAGACCAAGGCCTGGCTCCAGGACCATTTCCAGGACCGCCTGATTGCAAAGGGGGTCGGCATCGAGTGGCCCCTCACTCTCCGGATTTAATGCCACCGGATTTCTTTCTTTGGGGTCATCTGAAGTCGGAAGTTTACAAAAATGGACCCAAGACCATCGTCGAACTCAAGAAAGCCGTGGAACAAGCGGTGAGACGAATCCCTGTCGCAACATGCCGCGCCGTAATGGAAAGCGCTCGTAAAAGAGCTGAGCTGTGCCTTCGCGAAAACGGTGGTCACCTGGAACAAGTACTATAGATGGTCAGCTGTAGTTCTCTGACGTCAGCCGCTGATATCCAGCAAAATAGCATTGATTTGCGAATGTTTTGGTGCCTGTTTTACCAGTATGCGATAAAAAATACAGGCTTGAGACAAAAAACAAATGTGTTCCTTTATTCTGAATGACCCTGTACCGTCCACCGTCCATCGTCAACCATTCAGGGCCCACCATCCACCGTTCACTATCCATCCATCATCAACCATTCAGCGTTCATCATCCACCGTCTACCGCCCACTTTTACCCCCGCTCTCCACAGCTACCAACCACAGCTGGTTAGTAGTCAAAAGCCAGTCAATTGAGCCGACCGAGCCCATCCTGTCACACTGGCGTTGGTGGCGGACGGTAGAGCTGTCAGCCGTTATTGGATAAAGGGCAGAGGTATTGTCACTGTAGCCCGCACTCGGACGGTGGCGCAGGCTGAGTTCTAAGTTCAGAGTATGAGGTACGCTACGGAACTGATTTCGTAATTCGGCCGGATATAAAGATATGGAATTTCGTCACAGACTCATGTTAATATGTTGTCGGAGCATAGTAGAAATGAGGAAATAATCGCTCCCCGGCAGAAGCTATCAATATCAGGAATGCTTGAGGTATGTTTCGAAAAAAATTGTGGTAGGAAGATGCGACTCCCTAAAAAAATTCGATACCCTCCCTCTCTAAAGAATTATAGACACCACGAGGCACGAATATCAAGCTTAGCTCATGACAATACACACTACACACGGCAGCACCACCTTTTACTGACAGCCCGACAGCGCAAACTCCCGACAATCTCAGTGGACGTCGCAATAACGGCCGCTCCTAATCAAAACAAAGACCTGTCCTGCAGAGTGCATCCGCACCATTGCGACCAAGCTACCGCGCAAATGAGACCGGTGTGAGACGGGCTTACAGCTGCGAGCCGAGGTGGGAACCGGCCTCACCTGTCCTCTCCTAAAACAGCTCCCTTGGTAGTGTATTACCACGGAATATATAGTCTACGACATGGAATGGACAGGAGCTTCGATTAGCATTGCCACGTGTGTAACCAAAAATCAAGGATTTTGCCGGATGAATATCCGGAGATCCGGAGGATGCGGATGAATTTCTTTCCACGTGGGTTTACATTTTCATATATTTTCTTAAAATTTCATACATTTTTTCTTAACAATCGTCGAATGATTCGCGTTCAAGGGCCAAGTTGTGACTGTGACTTTGAAATGGTAACCGTATATTTTATTGGAAACTTTTAGCACACATTGTTACGGGAGCGTTTATACATATTCATTGCATTACAGTTTTAACATTGGTCTAAAATTAAATAAAATTCGATGAAATTTATCTAAAATTTGATGAAGATGAGGAAGTGCGAGCACTCGCGCTCTACTTTCAGGGTCCCAGGACTATATATGGCCCTGGTCCCAGGGCGTATCGGTTCCTACAAAAACGATACGTCCTTCCCCATCCTCGAACTCTGCGGAGGAAGATGGAAAAATACAGATGCGACCTGGCTTTCATGACACTATCTTGGCTCTCATAAAAGAGAAGTTCGCCGGAACAAGTGCCAAGGACAAGCTGTGCATCATTTCGTTCGACGAAATGCAGCTGAAACCAAGGTTGGCCTACCAGCGGGGTGATGACGTCATCGAGGGCTTCACTGATCATGGCTCTCTCTGCCGCGCCAATGCCTGCGCCGACCACGCCTTGGTCATGATGGTGCGGGGCGTCAGTGTCACCAAACGCGGGAAACAGCCCATCGGTTTCTTTCTGAGTTCCGGAACGACCAAGGCCGTTGTGCAGCAGCAGCTGTTAACACGGTGTGTCCAACGTGTAACAACAGCGGGATTCACTGTGCTAGCTACAACTTGTGACATGTCAAAGAACAACCAGGCGATCTACAGACTGCTCGGAGCTGCGGAAACCGGCTTGTTCACCGTGGACGGGCACGAGGTTGCTGCTCTGTATGACGTGCCTCACATCTTCAAATGCATACGAAATGCATTAATGAAATACGATATTGAAGTAGACGGTGAAGTAGCCTCTTGGAGTCATTTAGAAACACTCTACGCACTGGAATGCGCTTCTTCCCCACGGGCTGCTCCAAAACTAAGCCAGAAACACAACAGGCCAAACAGCTTTGAAAAATGAAAGTCAGCTATGCCCTACAGGTGATGAGCCGGACAGTAGCAGCAGCAATCACATTGCATGCGACCCACGGCAAGCTCCCGCGCACTGCACTCCCGACTGCTACTCTCCTGCTGCGCCTCAACGACCTGCTCGATGTGCTAAACTCTTCCGCCCGGTTCGACCCCTGCTCAAAGCGACGCGCGATATCCAGCCTCCATCCAGCAACGGCGGGAGAACACATGCAGTTTCTTCAGGAGAGCGACGCCTGGCTGCAGCGGTGGACGGTCGGTGGCGGCGCCAGCATCGACTCCATTCGAGGACTGCGACAAACGATATAAAAGGCGTGGTGAAAATCTGAGACTTGTGTCAGGCTGCTGGGTGCACGTTCCTGTGCACTCGCCGCTTAAACCAAGATCCAAGCTACTGAAAATGAAAGAGTTTATCTCGGCAAAAATATATATTAGGCACATACACGGTGCCTGTGTACCTACTTATAATGAAGAAACATTATGACAACGTTTGAAACGTTTAACACAACCCCTCCTCTAAATGCATTCATGAAACGTGAGTGGGCGAATAAAGGCAACTAGTTTTAACTGTAACAAAAAAGCACTTCTGGGCACGTAAATGGGGTAAATGTGGTAAAATGTGGTAAAATTCACCACCCCATATCGCCTCTACCGGAAACCCGTTTTAACCCCCGAAGGACATTGGCAATAGAGCAGGATCGTTCATGTTTATCAAAACAGCCGGCAACTTTCTATCGCAGCGAAAGGTTGGCTAGGACGAGAGTCATTGCTTTCACTGACTATGACAAACCTACTCGAACGGATTTTCACCTTAGGAAGTTACCAAACGAATGTTGAAAAATACATCAGCACCATGAAAAAAACCTTACCCACCATGCTCAGCAACGCCGCCTCCCGCCGGCGTCCACCGGAAAAGGGCGGCAAACGAGCGACGTTTAAATTGTCAGAAGTGATTCCAGACAGCAACACCTGATTATAATAAAATGCACCTTCTCATATTGCCCCGGTACCCCGTTATGCCCCACCTTCCCCTATTAGTTATAGGTCTGGCAACTATACTTTCATCCTCGTAAAGGAAGTAACCACAGCGAATCCGCACGACTAAATCATCAGGGTCGCCAAAAACTCGGCAGTTACAGGAAATCTCGATCCTGTCCATTCCATGTCGTAGACTATATATTCCGTGATTACCAGCTGCCAGCCAGACGTTCCGACATACCTGTACCGGCTCCTCATTCCGGTCTTGAGTTACGGCGGCCAGCAAGGTCGGCTTTGTTTCAGTGGCGGATATTCCGCAGGTATGAGGTAAAGGGTGGACCGATTGTCGGTTATTGCCGGTTGGGAGCCGGTATTTACCAAGTGTTTCATATTCGAGCACGATATTGCATAAGTCGCATCACGGACCATCGTTTGTTTACAAACAAACCACAAGGACGCACAACAAATCTTAGCAATTTTGAGCGTAGCAGCCTCGCAGGTGTTTTTTGAACCCGACAGCTACATAAGGATTCCTAGCGTCCAAAAACACAACCGGCACGTGAGTCCCTCCTCCGGTCACCCAGTGGCAGCGCTTCCTCGGTCAAGGTCACTCAGCCCCATCCACCCATCCTCGGTTACCCAGTCCACGTCACAGTCACACACCATGGTCTCGCCTCGGGTCACGCAAAACTACCAACCATCAATCACAATCCCTCTTGTGTCACTGATTTCCCCGAACCGGGTCCCCACTGACCCCCCTCCCCCTCCCACACACTTCGGTCACTCACAACTACGCATCGGGTCGCCCACCATTCACTCCTCTCATCACTTACCGCTGATGTGATCATCGTCGTTAAGTATCACCCAGCTGGCCGACGAGCCGTCGTCGGAGTCGGAACCGTTCCTCTCCCCGTCATCCATAGTTTCTGGCGACAGACAGAAAACAAGTCAGTCGTCCGCTCGACGCTGGAGAGGGGAGGAATCAGCTGACTACAGGCGGGAGGGGGGGGGGGGCAGAGCAGCTCACTGAGCACAATGGAGCTCAATGTATGTCGCGCCGTGCCGCCGTCGAGTCCAATCCAGTTGTCCCGTCACGGACAACTATTGCAATAGACCATGAGCGGCCCCACAGCGGCTCGAACCAGCGGCTTAGCAGCGAGGGGTGACGCAAAACGACGTGTCTCGACTCTGGCGCTCGGTCGAGTGATTCAGGAGATACCGACTGGGCCGGTGCACCGGACTAAGGGCGGCGTTCTGCTCCGCCCAGAACCGCCGGCGGCCGGCGCAGGGAGACGTGGCCCGGGACCAGTGGTCAGCAGGGGAGAGATGGCGAGGTGATGAAAAGACACGTGCAATGCGTCGGTTGGTTAGAGACGTGGCTAGGATTCGTTAATTCCAAGTAGGCGGCGTTCGTGCGGGGTTTAATGTAAGTCCGACCTAAGCTAGACACATCATGTAAGCTGTTAGCTGTGAGGCCAAGACAAACTATCCAGCTTCAAAATCGGCATTGTGTGCATTCACTGCACAGCATCTAGGCTTGCCAGCACAACACAGGTTGCACAATAGCCAATCGCTGACAAATGCTGTTTTGCAATCAGATCCGAAGACTGCCGTTGCAATTTGCAAATATTGACAGAAGGTAGCACATAAATGTGTTTACAATGCTCTGAACCAAATACCGCTGTTGTAAGTAAGAAATGACTGGTATGGCGGTTTTCCTGCTATCGTTGAGTGCTGGGCACTCGGCCTCCTCGACACACAAAAACACTGAAGTGCTGCCCTATCGCTATCGTTACTACGCTACGTTACTACGAATTACGATTACCATATCACATCGCGTTCAAAGGCTAAAACAACAGCCCGCCTGTCCGTTGTCCGTCCGTTTGCGTGTTCGACCCTCCGTGCGCCAACCCGGGTCCCCAGTATATTGAGCGTGTGCCACCTGCCCCGGCAGCAGCTGCTCTACCACCCGATATGGACAGATGGCCGTGATAGCGAGCAAATGTCACCAACGGCGGCGCTCAAGCACGGCGCATGATAATGGAAATCCAGGCAAACTTGCACATTTGATCGGTGGTACGCATGATACTCAAAGCACGGCTTACCCGCACAATTTGATACGGTGGCAATGTTAGAGTGAGTTTGCGAAATCGGTGGATCCGCGGAGTCCCTAGGGAATCCACGGAGTCCCTAGTGGCTCCGCGGATGAACATCAAGTCTAGTATATTCGCGGATAAACGGGCGGGGATCCGCGGATGAACAAGACTCTTCAGGATAACCGCGAACTCCCTGAAGAGTTGACGAGATCCGCGAACCACCCGGGGAATCCGCGGAGTAACGATTCATTCTAGTGAGTTTGCGAAGTTCCTATGCGTTTCGTGCAGCTATCTTATGACAAAAATGCAAGGCATATTGGATAGATCGTCTGCGACTTAACCCTCACCCGTATTGGTGTTTTCCCAGTTGCTGTTGGAATTCACCGAGTAGGTACCGATTCATTCTAGTGAGTTCGTGAATTATTCTTTCATCTCGCTTAGACGTCGCTCGCAAATATTAATATGCAATTAAATAATGGACGGTAAGCCATTTTTGGCGTGGTTGAACTTCTGCGACCAGTCTGCTTACTTTTCTCCCAACCATTAATGGAAAGCTGGAAAGGCTACCGCGCATCTGAGCGATCATGTGAATGTATGGAAGTATGTATGCATAACAGTAATGCTCACTCTTCTCCAGGGACGAAGCTTCCCGTACAGTTGGTGGGGCAGTTGCCCCCCCCCCCCCCCCCCCAACTTGCCCTTTTACCACAGCCGACCTGACTCGACCGGTCAGCACCGCGCCTACAGACGCTCCAGCCCGGCGCCACAGTATCTATTCTGGGGAACATTTGGACTGGAGGGGCAATGGCAATGCTGAACTTCGATACAAGAACCCAACACGTACATATCAACCCGCCTTTGAATATAGTTATTTGACCCAAGTTGACCGTAATTGGCTGAAGCCATTGCGTACTTGCAAACAAACTAATGAAAACTTAATCACGCATTGGCATTAATTGAGGTTGTTGGCTGTTGCGTCTCAAAGGCGATTAAAAAGACAGGATGTCCCCTATGCTATTTGGAATCGACCTGGAATGTCAACCAAATGCCAATTGGCCTGGGGCCGTATGGTTTGGGTATTATTGGCTTCTTCTATGTAACCACGGAAAGCAAGCTACTTTTTTTCCGCGAAAGGTTTAGCTCGATCAGGGGCCGCACGGCAAGGGTTCCAACGGAACCCTCCCCCGCGGACCCCTCCTCCCGCACACGGTAGCGTCCGAGAAAATAATAATACGGGCGAGGGTTAGCCCTCGCCCCGTTGGGGGAGGCAATTTGCCACCCCCCTATGGTTTATACTGAATGCCAAATTTTTAGTTCCTTCCCGGGCATCAATTTGACATCTTCACACAAAATTTCAAGCTTACGTCACCTTAGGTCAGGAGTTATTGAGGTCAAACTGAGGTCATGTTCGAGCAAAAATGACCAAAAAACATGAAATCTTGAAACCATCACAAAAGCTACGGTTACCAAGCAATTTCAAAGTTCTTTATGTGGTTGTGTAGAAATAAAACGGCGCTAAAAAACTGTTATCTCAGATTTTTAAAATTGTGGGATTTTAACCCCCCCCCCCCCCAAAAAAAAAACTTAGTCTTTTTTAGAAAAACGCAAAATTATCCCAAAATTTTACGAAAAAAAAACGGAATATGTATGATAGTCCGTGCGCTCTTCTATCTCCATACCAAATTTTAGATCGATATCTCCTTTTTTGGCCAAGCTATGCGAAAAAACTGTTCAAAATTGATGACGTCAATTTTTTTAAACTCAATTTTTAGCAATTCTAGACCACGTAGCGCAAAACAAAGACCACCATTAGGCTCCCCGTGACGAGCTGCATCGAATCGATTACCATTTAATAAAATCAATTTGACCTAATTTGACCTGACCTTGACCTGAACTTCACCAGAACATAACCTTAACTGGCCCCAAAGGCTGCCTGACCCACATAGTCGCATTTGTCATGTAAAATGGACCATAAAACATGCATCATATGATATTTTCATATTCTGACCCTCAGTGACCTGACCTGGCATCAGTGACCTCAACTAGCAAAATATGTGTTTAACGAACAATTCCCATCGATGATTTTCAATGACATGCATTTTACTCGATTTTACAACACATTTCTTGAAATGCCTGTAAACGGTGAAAATTCGACATTTGACCTGACCTCACTCGCTTTGACCTAGGTCAATGAAATTGGGTCACAAGGTAGTTCTCCGCCGTGGCTACCCAACACTGTTTGCGGCTTGTTGCTATGTTGCGTGGTTCTCGAGATCTTAGGGGGAGGGGGCCAAAATGCCCCCCCCCCCCCACAACAGGGCGCGTTGCTCCGGCAGACCCCAACGGGGCGCGGGTTAAGTCGCAGATGATCTACCCAATGCATTCTAGTCTAGGTAGCTGCACGAAACGCATAGGAACTTCGCAAACTCACTAGAATGAATCGTTACTCCGCGGATTCCCCGGGTGGTTCGCGGATCTCGTCAACTCTTCAGGGAGTTCGCGGTTATCCTGAAGAGTCTTGTTCATCCGCGGATCCCCGCCCGTTTATCCGCGAATATACTAGACTTGATGTTCATCCGCGGAGCCACTAGGGACTTCGCGGATACCCTAGGAAATCCGCGGATCCACAGATTTCGCAAACTCACTCTAACAGCAACACTTCACCGCCTGGGGCCATGCGTAAGGGTGTGCGTGCACGGCTGCATACGGCATGCGTGTGTGTGCGCGTGCGCATAGTGCGTACTTACGTGACACGTCTATGAGAGGGAATACGCCTTATCAACCAACTCTTTGGTGCCCCTCACCAGGAAAAAGTTGCCGACTGCAAGGCTGTATAAGAGACCAGCTGGACCCAGTTGTGTCGCTTGTCGTTATTGACGCTACAGTGCACTGTTTGGTCGGACTGTTTGGACGATTTAGTAGGGTAGTGTGGGGTAATTTGAACATATTTTTACGTCTTCTCCGTTGTACCAAATTCCAGTTCAACCCTGGATGAAGAAAAACTGCTTCAGTAGCGCAAGTGTCACTTGCTTTCACCATGCAAGCCTCATTTTTGGACGAGCCGAGCATACCTTGAATAGCATAGCCTCACTTCTCCACCAAGTCACGGTGTGTTCAAATTGCCCCACCGTGGGGTAATTTGAACATACTGCCTTTACCTGTCATAAAAAACGATAGTCTCGCCAGCACCGATGTTGTTTGACCCATAAACAAATAGGCAGAACAACTCTAAACATACCTTCACTTAAAAAATCAACACAACAGCAAAAATAACAGTTGCAGAGTATCAATATCTGCACGCTGCACACCGGTCAGTTGACAGAATTCGCCCCTCTTCAATTAACAGAACGTCTATCATTTTTGTTCGATAAAAACTCTCCCAACCCTACTACATCTGTTAAAGTGGTACCAATCGAAGCCTGGACATTTGGAGTTCAGATTTTGTCCAATGTCCAATTCGGATTTGGTTGGACAAAGGTAGCAGACTGGACAACATTGGATGATGGCTTGCTACACTTCAGCGCTTTTTATAAAGTAATCGTGCATAGCATTGATTGGCGAATGGAAAGCTTGTTAAGCTCTCAATATAATGAACACTTTTCGGCTGGTAAAATTACATGATAAGCAATATAAATGACGGTTTTGAGTGTTGATAGCTGCATAATCTTGGGACATATTTGGACAAATAGTTGACTTTAACATTTTTGGACGGAAAATCAACAAAAATGCCGGACATTAGACGGATATTAGACGTAAATTTTCTAAAACTGGCATCACTTATCTGCTACTGCCTTGGGTCGAAAATATTGGCAAAAAACTGGGAGCGCTGTTTTTTCGGAGCTATCCCTGTCTTCATTCAAATTCTCACACTATGTTCAAATTACCCCACGCTAAAAGTTATTTTGCCATTTTAAAAAACAGGGTTCAAAAGGAAATTTCTTGGATTGAAGGCACTGATTAGGTCATCATACAACAAAAGCCGTTGCGTATTAGGCGCTAGCAATGCAAGATTTTGCGCTGCAGTGAAGTTGCAATGACGTGTTGTTAGGCGTTTTTCCTTGCAAAATTGATTTTTTACACTGTGCGTCAACATCTTCATTCCCTGAAACTTTAAACCCCGTTCATATGATAGCCCTTTTAGTTACGATAATTTCTCTCATTGGTCTTATTGTCATGCCACTTATGGATTTTCCGTAATTTTCTGTTATTCACACTATGTTCAAATTGCCCCACATGTTCAAATTAACGGGTGGTCAGTATGAAACTGGACAAAGTTTGAATTGTTACTGTGTCGAAAGTTTTCAAGCGAAAGCAACGAAAATCGCGTTACCGTGCCATTATCTTGTTGTGATCACGCTCGCCCTAATGGATGTGCGACACTGGACCTCTGCCATCCTCCAAGCGCACGCGCGCTGGCAGCCCCGCTATTGTCTTTCGCGGCACCTCCGGGTCGATTTGACGGGTGGCCTGCTGGATTATCCGCTTCTATTGTGCGTCTCAGCTGACCTGCCACCTTCCCTTATACACTTTCCGTTTGATGAGCCCCCACAGATCCTTAATTGGCTAAATCTGAGGGGTACATGGCGGGTTCATGTCACGTGCTATTTCGGGCACCCCAGCCTCCTCAAGAAGTTTCGTGTTCTAGCGCGCGTACTGTGACTGTTGCAAGGTCGGAACCTGACAGAGCATCATGCTCTGTGTTCTGAGACTCAAAAAGTGGCAATAACACGCCATTCAAACACTTTTCATAGCACAGTTCGCCCTTCACATTGCCTGTGCTCGGCAAGAAACTGGACGCGTGAGCCCCTCGGACTCATGGCAAGCCAGACGGGCATCTCGGGTGGATGCTTGCTATCAGGTCGAAAGCGAAGGTGCGATCCACATGTGGAATAGTGTCTCCACCAGCTGAGGTGTAAAATTCGGCAATGGAAGGCATTTGGCTGCCACTGCAGGTGAAATAAGATGCATCGTCCATATGCACCTCCATGTTTTTGCTACCCTGCATTGGACCCTGTGACAGACGGCGCAGGCGGGTTTTCTGCGTACGAAATTGTGCCTCCGTCACCTTTATCCTACTTTTGTACCTGATTCCTGCTTGTTGACGCATTAATTGCTCATATGTTTTGAAGATTCCAAAACGTATTCCCAAAGATCACAAGGAGAGCCCCAACTGTTCGGTGACGGCGCCGGATTGTTTCTTCCGGTACTGAATGAGCCTTTTCTTGGTGATCTTGCCGTCCCCACCATGCAAAACATCTGCAAGTCCTCAGAATGTATCGATGATCACATATTTTTAAGATCTGGTTACACCCTATGGCGGAATGTGACGCATAATGGTAACATTTTTTTAATTTGTGTTATTTTCACAAACTTGCGCGAACAGGTCCCGGAACGCTTGCTGACTTACCGACGCAATGTTTTCTTATCGTTAATAGCAGAAAGTTGAAATCTAAGCTGGTAATGTAGAATAACTGGAAGTATGCACCTGCCAAAAATAATTAAAATCTGTCCATAATTGGAGATGCTATGCTTAATCAAATTTTGTCCAGTTTCATACTGACCACCCGTTACCCCACCCTACCCTAGGCTGCAGTTGGTGCAGAGGCTCCATCGCTAGACAGTTTCCTTCAAACCATTAACGTCGCTGACAGGCATTGTCCAACATTCCACTGCGGTCCTCAGACAATGGAATGGATTGAGTACGTGTCGCATGGGACACAACATAGGCTTCGAGCGACGGGGCTGTGTTCAGCGCTCACGTCATTTTGCAACAATAGGTGAAGATAGTAAAACATGAGCTTATAGAATTTCGATCGTCATGCTTTTAAGCTTTCCCAAGCATCTTTACGTCACTTATTCCACATTTTTTGCAGGAATCAGGTCATCGTAATCGTTACAAATATTCCCTGAGGACGAGAGTAGGACATACAAAGCAGTACATGATGTCAATTGGAGCTCACATGATGTTGCTTGAAAACGCACTGTTACAGAACACCCACTGTTGAATACATGAGTAAAACCAGTATAACGCCTTATGGGGCGACTAACGGAGCGAGCGAGAGGGTGGGCCTTGCACGTGCGAAATTTCGAGGGGGTACCTCCAACTGACTTGTGCACGGCACCCTACTAACCGGTCTCTAGCGATGTGCCAAATTTGAGCACAATCGGCCCAGCCGTTCTCGAGATCTGGAAGCGGCACCCTGCACGTGCGCACGTGCAAAATGGGTCCCAACTGACTTGTGCACGGCACCCTACTAACTGGTCCCTAACCGTGTACCAAATTTGAGCGCCATCGGTCCAGCCGTTCTCGAGATCTGGAAACGACCCCTGCACGTGCGCACGTGCAGCAGCACCCCAGCCCTAACACATGCAGATGAATTATCTGATGGAGACCTAACTGTGTACCGAGTTTCAATTCAATCGGCCCAGCCGTTGTGCCGTTATTGAGGTTGCAATTTTGGGGTTCTTAAAAAATGTCCAACTTTACCACGCGCCACGTGCGGTGGTTGGCAAGAACGCATGGTGGCCATCACACCACAGAACTTTTACGTCCAAGTGACATTCAGTAAAGAAGACCGCTGGTCAATCGGATGTCCCGTTCCTAAGATTAGCTTAGCTTTAGCTTTAAGATTAGCTTTAAGATTAGCTTTTGAAGAGCGTCCCCACGGCCGGCCGGCCGGCCGGCCGGCCGCTCATACTCAGAAATTTCCGTTATTCTACGTAAGACTCCGCTCGCTTCGCTCGCTCCGTAACCAATGATATTTTAATGCATAAATAGCGCTCCAATGAACCTGTAGGCAATCGCATCCCATTGAAGTTTAAACACTCTTTGAAGTTTGAACGATGTAACCATCCAACGCTATGCAAATAATTTCAAACAAAGGAACCCACACGTTATAAGATCATTTTTACCAGCATCCAGCCGGGATCCTCCCCCTCTCCGCAAAGCCAGCTGGACGGACGAATTCAGGGCCACTCTCACCCAAACACCGGCGCATCACAAGGCCAGCTCACCCGCCGTCAGCTCACACGCGTTCCGTGCATCTGTACCGGCCAGCGGCATGGACAGCTGCGTCCTTGGCGCGGGCCACCGTCGGACGGGGGGGGGGGCTCACGTGGGTGGGGCGGGGGGGGGGGGAGGGCAGAGGCGCAGATGCCCGCTGGCTGGGTGTCGGTAACGCGCCATTCAGAGACCTTTATCTCTGCCTCAGCCGTGCGCCGATGTTGAAAGAATGCCATGTTGTTCAAACTTCAACGCAGTTGTGAACAATCCGGGACTGGATGAAATATCATTGACCGGTTGCGGCGATGACAAAGTGTTGTCTTCAAGTGGGACATAATTGCCCACTGGGGATACAACAACCGATTGAACTACGTTGAAAAAGGGCCGGTAACACGTAAACGTTGGCAGACCCGTCAGCAGGGCATATTTTAAGGCACTTACTGCGTCCCATTTTGGGACGCAGCCCCCTCGCCTTGGGACGTAGCCCCTGCTGATTTGACCCACTGCGTCCCTGCCCTGTCCGGTTCCCTGACCTGTGCCCTGCTGTCTGCCCTGACCTGTACCCGGCCTTCCCTCTAAAATTTCCTGTGCCATGCCCTGCAACCAGCTGCCATGCCCTACTTTCTGCCCTCCTCAGTGCCCTGTACTCTGTTCCTTGGCCTGTTGTGCCCTTAGTCGTAGCACGTGCCCTCTGCTCAACTTTGGGACGCAGTAAAAATTTGTTAAAATATGCCCTGGACCCGTGAAAACCCAAAGTTGTATGATGACATTGGGTAATCATGAGTTATCACTAATCAGAGTCTATAGCCACTTTCGAAACAGAGCCAATGCGAAATTCGAAATCATCTGGCGGAAAGACTTGAACGTGTTAAATGTCTAACCATAGCAGCCAGCAAGTCCCGATTTTCCGACACTTGGGTGATTGAACTAACCTGGAATGCCTAACAATGACCAAAGACCTTAACACTGAGAATTATTGGCTTCCTCTCGGCATGGGCACTGGGCAGCACGCTCGTTTCTTCCTTCCTTCGTTCCTTCCAAGGCTCTAGCTCGATCGATCAGCTGGGCCGAAAGGCTGGGGGTTACGATCGATTCCCCCTTCTATGCGTTATCGGCTGTGAAAACGCCAACACAGCCGTGGGACAGTGATTGCGGCAGAACAAGACGTTCAGCCATGCCGACACCGCTCAACTTTGAATGATAAACTCCCCTCGCCACCGTATAGTCCGCAGTGGTCTCGGCGGCCCGCGTTACAAACTGCTTAGAGGGGCCTTCCGGCAGTGGTTTGGCTTCATATCAATGAAGTTTGTGGCAGGTAGACTTCTCTCTCACCAGCCGGCATAGACCATCCTCCAGTACTCAGGAGTTTTGATGCGGCATCACCTAAGCATAATCATTCTTATCCATGGCCTGCTACAATGCTGTACGCAATTAACAAATTTGTTACACAATAGGCAAAACAATCTGAATGACTTACTTGAAGGAGGACCAGTCTTCTCTGATGCCAAGTTTGTTCAAATAGTATGATAGTATCACTTCTTCTTGAATCCTTTTCCAGATAGTTCCTATCTGCTTAAAGCTCACACCTCGATGTGTTTACCTTGAATGTGTCTGTAACAAAATATACATGAGAATAATAATCAGTGAGGACAAACAATGGGAAAAATCAGCACCATTAGTACACATGCTTAAACACATGAAAGCAGCAGTGTTATTAGCTAACTTGATTATCATTAAATCAGTGCTTACCTACTAAATGCTATCCTGTCGCTGTCAATTGTCATGGCAAAGTGTCCATTAATGGGCCTGAAAAGTGAAAGGGACCATAGTTGGCCTTTTTACGTCCTGTAGATGCACAGAGAAATTGATTTCTGATCACAATTACTAATACAATGCAATATATTTTTAATACAAATATAAATTGATTTCATTGTTTACCACAATAGCTGCATATGAGATAATGCAATAAAATGATCACATTTCAACCTTTTCACTTAGCTCAACAAAACTGGACACAATGTTACATTTTATAACAATGAAACATTTCAAATCTATAATCAACTCCATGACTCCATAACTATAACAAAGATACCTACCTACGCACATAACCATCAAGTTCTGCCGATACAATTTTGGTGCATCAAGAAAGCCATAGTATAATAAACACCATTTACAATAGATTTTATGGTCTTTTATGCCGTGATGTGAGCAATTATCAATGAAGAAGACACACCAAACAATATCAAAATCGAGCTTGAGACTGAGATGTTATTTACAGATCCTTCAAGAACAAGATTGAGTGAGTGAGACTACATCTGCATCTGCATTTCAATACAAACGAAATACAACAGCAACATCGCCAACACATTATGAATAAATACTGAAAAAGAAGCACGGAGAAAATAAATAAGAGTCATACCTTTGGCTTTGTTCGCCCACGTCCCCTGTCGAAAACGAAACTGAAGTTCTGTGGAAGCCCAGTGTTTACAATCAATGGCTCAAGGTCACCGTGTTCAGGCGATCTGCGCGCCACCTAGTGATGATTAAGATCTACTCTGCTTCTGATTGCTTCCGACGAGGGCGCTCGAGTTCGGAGCACATTAAGGTACTGAAGTCACGGACAATGGAAATTGGAAGAGGCCTATATGTGGCCTTGGGAAAAGGGCAAAATACTGAATAAAGGGCGCACCCAAGTCCTGAGTGGTGTCTGAATGAGTACAGGCCAGTCAGGGAGGAAAATCACTTTTGACTGAAAAATATGAGATTGAACTTGCACGTAGCCCACAAATATAGGTAATGTTGATGTCCGATCCAGCCGGGCTCAAAACGATCAAGTTCAAATATGGGGTCACCGTTCCGTGCTTCTATCCTCAGGATACAGAAATCCTTCTCCTCCACGCCGCAACCCCCTCCGGGCTGGACAGGCAACTTTATCTCATGCGGGCTGCTCCCTTGGAGCGGCACCGCTGCTCCTGAGGGAGCGCACCCCGTAGCCGGGTGCAGTGAGTGCCTTGGGGCTGGGTGGCCTGTCCTCTGGACGGGCTCAGCCCCGGCGACTCACTAGGGTGCCTGCCCAGTCCAATGTCTCCCCCTAATTCCTATCATCCTTCCGGCTCTGCAATGGTCTTGTCAGACCGAAAGAGCCTAACCCAACAAAACAAACAAACAATATGGGGTCACTCGCCACTTGCTGGTTTTTGAGGGCCCACGCTAGTCTGAAAAGGACTTTACATCTCATACCAGCCTTTGATGAATCATAATGTTCTGCTTCTCGGCCTATGGCGGTACAGACCCACGAACCCACGTACTACAACGCACTACGTGGATCTCAAGTCTTGAGCCCGTGCCCCGTCTCTTCCGTCCCTTGGGACCATTTCAGGGCCTTGGGTTCAGACTAGTTCAGAGGACAAGGTAACTGAGTCGGTCATCAGCCGGTGAACCGCCGTATAAACTGAGCCTATCCCAGTGGACCAAGCAGTGTCCGGGCGGCTGGAGAGCTGCCGTCCAAAGGCAAAACCCATTATGTTACATTGACCTGTGACCTAACATAATGGTTTTTGCCACTGGCCAAGTCTTAGGCCACCCAGCCGCTCAACCGGCCACACACCCTCCGCCGATCGTCTGGTAACTGGTTAGTGGTTAGGTAGTTAGTCCGGTTCGGTTCAGGGCCCTGTTTCACCGGTGATAGCAGCACGCTGCTTTTACACGTGTCAAATTGGGTTTCCATGGAAACATCAACAGGCCTATTGCTCCAACACTACCGCAAATGTGACGTCAGCTCGCGCAATTTGATAGCAGCGTGGTAGCAGCGTCCCGTGAAACACCGCCCAGGAAAGTATGATCCAAGGATGGAGATTGGACGGTCTGGAGGAACGTAACTAAACTATGGAGGACTCTGGCGTGACAATGGCCGATCAGAAGCATGCGCATCTTGCACCAAAAATAACCAGTTGATCGCTCGACGTTCGAAAAAAAATTGAGATATTCGGGTGCATGTGCTTGACTTAAACATACGGTTACTTATTCGACTGCTGCATCATCGAACAACCGGGGGACCCCGGACCCGCGACCTACTTCCCTGAGAACTTCAGTAACGACCAAACACACGACCTTAGCAACGTTATTTATTGATTTTACGTCATTTTATGACTAACAGCAGTTAGAGCCAATGGCTTTGACACAAAGCGCCCAAAACAATGTTTAGACGACCCGGAATGTCATGTTTGACAATATCAGAGATGAACGAGTTTCAATATCACCCACAGAGCTCGGCTTCCTGAGTCTGTCCCCACCGACTGTCCCCCAGATACCCTGACTGTGATACTCATGACGTCAGAAGCTCGACTCTGAGTCGTCTCACGCTGGGAGAGCGCCTCACTTGGCGGCGCCGAACACCGCCATGTGGGCGTTGATCGGCTTGATGAACCGGTCGCTCTCCATGTACTTTTTGATGTTGGGCAGCGCCTCGAACCGGTCTACCAGCTGTTTGAGGTTGTCGGATCCGTCCAGCACCTTGGGCTCCAGCTCGCGCCAGTTGGTCAGCATGTCGTAGGCCATGACGTCCACATAGGTGATGCGGTCGCCGAGGAACCAGGGCTTGGAGCCCAGGTAGGCGTTCAGCTGCTGGCAGTAGGTGGTGGAACGCTGCACCGCCTCTGGCAGGCCGGCCTTGAAGCCCTCCTCGGTCTGGTAGCACAGGTCAAAGAACCATGTGCGCACGTCGATCACCTGGAACCAGACGGGCGAACGTCAGACCAGCCTTGGTCAGACCGAAATCCCGATCACTTTGTTAGTTAGTTTTAGGTACACTCGGGGGCAGATTGATGTTCCACCACTCCCTACCCATCGGGCTCCAATGGCTCAGCACTGGCTGCTGCCAGTGTTGCCTGCCCTCAGCACTGCTCAGCACTGCCTGCCAGTGCCAGTGCTGCCAGTGCTGCCACTGGCAGCAGCCAGTGCTGAGTCATGGGAGCCCGATAGGCAGGGAGTGGTGGAACATCAATCTGCCCCCGAGTGTACTACATTTTATTGCCGATTAGTTTTTTTACGGTAGAGGCACGTAAGTCGTTAATTTATTTGATTTTTTTTTCGAATGAACCATCGGACTACATACACTCCAGGTAACTCTCAGATGTGACAAATCCAATCCATTTTTACCTCAAGGTGTAATAGATGCAGCATCTATCTATGCAGTATGCAGATGCAATACATAGATGCTGGATAGTGGATGCCTATTTGTCTCAATTGCTGTAGGCATGCTGACCTGTTATATAATTACGTTGTAGAAAATGCCGCTTACTTTAGTGTAAATTAAAAAAACTAAACATGGAGCTTTAACTTCAGATGGTGGTAGGAGTCTAGCAAGAAAAAAAAACTAGAAATTCATTCGATTAATCTCAAACTACGTCGGCGAACATACGACGGAAAAAGGAAGGCCGTGACGGCATTGAAAGGCGCTACGACGAAAAATTGACGACGTTGCGAAAAAGAGTAGGCAATCAAATCCAGAATCATACAAACATCTGGTGAGGTAAACATTTTAGCGGCCAGTTCAGCTCTGAATCGCACGTATATTTATAATTCCCCCGTTGAACACGTCCTTCGGCACCGCCTTGACTCACCACGCCCTCTAGCATGTCCAGCTGGCTGGCCTCGGCGTCGTTTTTGGCGGCCATGTTGTACTTCCTCCCCAGGTGTCGCACGATGGCAGAGCTCTGCGTCAGCTTCTGGTCGCCGTCCACGTAGTAGGGCAGGTTCGGGAAGGGCAGGCCGTGCGGGTTCTTGGCCTTCTCCTGGATCCAGACATCCTCGGCTCGCAGCTGCCGGGGTGAGAGAGATGGAGTGAGTGTATTTGGGGTTTGTAAGGTGATGTGGGCCGGTTGGGCCGGTCGTAAATGCCACCATCCGTCAGTTGTCACCAATGTCAACCACTCAGACACGCTCACAGACTGCACTAAACTGGACGTGAAGGGGAAAGAAAAGGCGGGAATTGATGCAACGTGAAAAGAAAATGTATCTTATAAAAACATCGGATGAGCTGTGTCACTTATTGCAGTGTAATTCAACCAACACAAATATTTCCCCGCAATGGACCAAAACATGCCCAAAATTCCTAGATAATGTCCGGGTGGTGCATGAGTCGAATCAGTCCGGTGCCCGCTGACGTTTGATCGCAGACGAACGATGCTGCCGCCGTATCCGTCATCGGACTTGAACTGGGCCTTACGGACTGCATTCTCTGACACTCCCAGTCCAGACACACAAACAAACAAACACTCAGAACAGGTCAGGAGAGGCGAAGGGGCCGGGCGAGGCACGGAGCACCGTCGCCGCGACCCGACCCTGGGCCTGGATGCGGCGTTCGGCGCTGACTTCTGAGTTTTGATAGACAGGAGAATAACGATATGATGATAAGTAAAGATAATTATTAAACCAATTTAAGAACTTTCTCGCTTTAAGTAAGTGTTTGCGACACGAACCTCATAAAACACCTCTAGTTTACACTACGATCATGCTCTTTTGCCATCATACGATAAATTTTTGGTCGAACTGGGATTCGAACACAAGACCACCCATTGAGAACATGACATGGTGTCATTTATGGGGATGCGATGCATCTTGAGAAAGGGTGGATGGGCTCTTCATTTCGATTCCTGAAATGTGATTAAATGTTCTGGCTATGGATCTATATATTTCATTTATGAACATCTCTAGAAAATAATTTTGAAAAACAGGCGGGATAGTCACCTTTCCACGACGATAATGATAAGCAGCCTTACCATTACAATAAACGCTACGCCTTTGTCTAATTTAACACTAGAATAAATCGAAACGTTATGGGAGAGGTCACCTCACGGCTCACGTTACCTTGATTTGGAGGGTCATGATCAATGCTTTCATCCGCAGCAATCACTATCAGTGGACAGGATCAGGATTAGAACTGAACCCACCTGGTCAAACCTGTTGTCCTGGTACTCTTCTCCTGCCAGCTCCAGCAGCAGCCGGCAGGGCTGGCCAAGGCCCTTGATCGCCCAGTAGCCGAACACGGTAGCCATTACTGCGACCTTTGTGATCTTTCAGACACCCCGCAGCTTCTCTCACCGGCCACAAAACGGTCGATGCCGGCCGCCGGTATCTCCGCGCATGGGACGCCGCCAGCGCCGCCTCCGCGTGGCGCTCATAGCTGCCGCAGAGGCGCGCCCAGGCAACGCTCAAAGGGGGGGGGGCAAAGGACCAATCTTAGGTGAGCGTGGTGGCTCACCGTTACTCATTTTATCATTCGGATTCGAGAGATGATATACAGTCAAGCAGGAAGCTCACCACGGTAAAATGTGAGATTTCAAGTGAAAAGCTTGCGAGCCATGTTACTGGGAACGCCGCTGACGTTGTAGGTTGTCCCCGGTTCCCGTCCCCCCGATACGGAGCAGACTGCGAACTCAAGGTCAGCCGCTGTATCCAGGGGGCGGCGACTCGTCGCCCGCGTCTGTGTGTGTGCAGGGAGGGGGGGGGGGGGTGATTAATCGGCATATACCGGTACGCGGTGCATGGGATGGCAACAGCACGGGTAGATACACTAAACACATTGCACATGAATGTGTATTGCAGGAACTCGGGATGCACTACATGGGGCGTGGCCTCACCAGTGGATGTGGATGACCAGAAACCGCCATAAGTTACGGACTCGCTTTATGAAACGAGACCCTGCGCTATAAATAAACATTAAACAGACCCCAACAGGGCGTGGGATGATTCTAGCCTCTGTTCATGTGTCGCTTGGTGGAACTAATCCGTGGAAAATTTTCAAAACTCTCCCCCTCGTAATTTTCTTCCAAATCAATAAAACGTGAATTTCATTAGAAAATGGTAGAAAATGGCCAGGGGATCAGCATAGCGATCCCGGTGCTCTCAGGATCGCTATGCTGTGACAGCCGAGTTGCTAAGCTCGCATAGTGCCGAGCTGGTTCGGTTCACAGCCGCCGGCGGTGGCATTGCGGCACAGTCTGCCTTCTAAAGGGGCTGGTCAAGACACTGCACATTGCACAACGCAATACGAATAAGATAGAACTAAGAAGCCAGGGATTTGCTGAAATCAAACGATTTACGAAAGTCGCATCTGCAGTTCGTAAGAAGTATCGAACACGTGTTTGCAGACATGGGAAGGTTACCTACAAGATGTGAGGGTTTGATACTAAGTTGAGTTATTTCATTGATTGCAAAGAAATTCGAATTGAAATTAGTCGATTATTCTTTAACAAATAGATACTAACATTTTTTCCAAACAATGCACTCTCACTACTTAGAAGTTACATTGTGAAAATATATTTATCACAAATTAACCCTTGCCGGACAGGCCATTTTGCGTCCTTCGACGACACAAGGGGGGGGGGGGGTAAGAAATTACGAGCCCCCCCTCGCGTTTGGTCCCTGATCGAGCTAGAGCTTCGCGAAAAAAAAAAACAAGCGTGTTACCCGCCCCGAGAGGAAGCCGATGGTGCCCAATTTTAAAGGGACCCTCCCACCTTAACATTAGTTTTGAGTTGAGATAGCCAAGTTTGCGGCCAGGCTCAGAAACCACCATTTATCCTGGTCGCAGCCCCCGCAGCTTTATGGTGTTAAAGAAATTTCTTTCCTTTACTTGCAGGGTGGGACCAGCGTGGTCCCTATCTCTTAACCATTACGGGAATCTGATGACGTCATCAGGCTTTCGAACGTCCGTTTACCACGTCACGACACACAATTTTTTTTTGGAAAATGACTTTTTTGGAAGTTCTAGACCTCGTACGGAAACAAAAATAGCACCATTCGATTTGCCGTGAAAAACTGCATCAGATAGACACCTTTTTAGGCCTTAACAACCAACTTCAAAATTTGACCTCACTTGACCTGACCTTGACCTGACCTCGACCTGAAATTCATCCAGAGGTGGTCCATATCACTTATTGAGTGTGCCTATTGAATTCTATGAGTAAAATGACCCATAAAACATGTGTCGCACATGCCCTTTTCTATATTTTGTTTTTTGGTGACCTGACCTGACCTGACCTGACCTTGACCTTGACCTCTGAATGATATTGTATGCAACGAATATTGTCTTGGTAGCCTAAGAACACGTTTTGGGCGATCAGTCTCAGTCCATGACTCCATTCTTCGGCAACTACGGTGCAAGGCCGATACTGTAGAAACTTGCAATTTGTACCCTTGACCTGACCTTGACCTTGACCTCAAACTTTAAATTAAGTACATGTTTTTAGTAGTTCGTGATGAGAGCTTTCGATTGGCGTTTGAATTTTCCAAATCGGACCGTTAGTTCGGGAGATAACAGGGGGTAAAATTTACCCCCCCCCCCCAGCCCCGCGCGTTCGGCTGGAGACCCCAGCCCCGCGCGGGTTAACTAACAGCTGCGCAGGAAAATGTTAAAATCATTGACAAGACCTGAGTATTGCAGACCTGAGCCATTCGAATATAAGTCCGACACCGAATCAACCTAAAAAGGAGTGTGTATAGCCATAGGACACACGTCATTGCAGACGCTGAAGCTGACTGATGACTCGCCTGTAACATAAAATGCAGGCCCAAATTAACCCTCGCCCATGTAGGGGGGGGGTTGGTGCAACCCCCCCTGAGGCTTTTCGGAAATAGTGCTAAAACGGCGGCGCGCAGCGCCGCCAAATTTTGGGTACCTTATGGGGCAAACCTTGCGCATCTTTTGATAAAAAAAATTGACCGGGTCATGTCAGGTCACGGAGTTATGACGTCACAAAGGGAACAGCCTCCGGCCGGATTTTCACAAACTGAGTGCCAACGCCCGAGGTTTCCTGCCGGTGGTACGGACATCGGTTGATGGATCGTGATGAAACTTCCGATGCATGTTGGGGCAAGTATTGGCTATCATATGGTATAAGAAACTTGACCGGGTCAGGTCAGGTGACGGAGCTATGACGTCACAAGAGGAACAGCGTCCGGTACTATTTTTGAAAAGCGCCCGAACCACTATTTTGCTAATTCTTGTCACCTCAATGGGAATATGCAGCAATATTAGCTTCTATAGGGAGCAAATGGACCTCCCAAATCCAAAAATACAATCAGATTTCAAAAACTTAACCCTCGCATGTGTGCGGCGTTTGCCAGCTTCTAATGTGTAGGGGGGGGGGGGGTCGGTTGGACCCCCCCTTGCCGTTTGGCCCCTGGTCGAGCTAGAGCTTCGCGGAAAAAACGAGCGTGTTGCCCGTGACGAGAGGAAGCCGATGATACCCAATTTTAAGGTCCTAGGTCATTGGTTGACCTTCCAGGTCAGGTCAATGACCCAAAAGTCGGGAAAATCGGGACCTGTTAGAAAGTCGTAAAGTGTGGCTGCTAAGGGGTTTTTCGGGGTGCTGATCACGAATATCGTGTTAGTTTTGATCACAGATGATGTCTTGAAGCATTTAGACCAGGTCGGGTCAGGTCAGGTCAGGTCAACCATTAGGCGTCGTGACGGGTATTCGTAGTACGTGTCAACCGCCTCTGACAGCTTCGTAACATGTTACGAAGTCACCAAAACTACTTCGTAAATGTTCAAATGGTTGCTAAATTCGAATTCAGCTCCAAAAACTAGCCTAGAAACATGTAAAACTCGAAAAAGTGACCCGAGGTCACCCGAGGTCACCAAAGGTCAATGACCTGACCTGACCTTCAGGTGACCTTGACACACACGGGAGTAACATCAAATCACATGTTTGAACGTTTGAAACCACGAAAAGCTTGCAAACACGCGGCTAGTGCGAGCCGACATACGCGAAATCGCGATTCCGGCCAAACATGGTCTCGGAAAAGAGGTCACAGGTCAAAGGTCATTTGGGTCAGGGTCATGAAATTTTCAGGGTAGGTGTGAAATTGATCAATGCGAGGGTACTGAAAGTTTCGTCGCGATCGGCCGCTTTTTACGCGAGTTATTCGCGAAAAACCATGGGGGGGGGTCCATCCGACCCCCCCCTACACATGCGAGGGTTAAATTTTGATTTTTCGAATTTCTGCCGCCGACTGTGACCTTGCCGACTTCCGGCGCTCCCAACGCGCCATTTTTAGAGCTAGGGAAACAAAATACATACCAAACGATAGAGAATTGATCAAGGAACACGATAGTGAAGGTTTCAAGTCGATATCTCCCACCGTTTTGCCGCCATCGCCGCGGAAAATTGAAAAAAGTCTATTTTTCCGAAAATTTGACCTTTGACCGGTCAAAAGTAGGTCAAATGTTGACCTAGGACCAAAAAATGTACCACCAATCGCGAGATCTCGGCGAGAGCAATCCGTTGGTCTTTTTCGCTAAGCTCTACGACGCTCCGTTTTCAAACGCCAAGGGGGGGTCGCACCAACCCCCCCCCCCCCCTGCATGGGCGAAGGTGGCAGATCGCCGTTTACGGGCGAGGGTTAACACCTGCCAACTAACCCTGCTAACGGGGTAATTTGACCGCTTTGCAGACCTTTGTAAAACGTCAAAATTTAAGCATAAGTAGTTTCTGTATCATTTTCAGTTTACTGTACGGCAAAGTAAAATGAATGTGACACCTGCCGGGTTGAAAGAGTGCAGAAATATGTCGCCAATTTTGAGATACAACGATTTCTAAAAAAAGCGGCCAAATTGTCCCATCCTCTATGCCTATATTATGTACCTACTAGCGAAAAAAAAAAACAGAAGGTGAATATACCTTATACAGAAGGTGACTAGTTATGGTGGAGAAAGTCGTACAGGAACACTGTAACTTTTAACCCTATTCCTGGCGGGGGGGGGGGGGGGCCTCAGGAGCCTCCCCCCCCTGAGGTTTTTTGGTTATTTCTCCCAAACGCGTTGAGTTAGGAAGCTCAAATTTTCTGACTTTTCTTAAAAGGCTTCTACGCAACATGTCTGAAAATTTTGAGTTGATCTGACCTCAGGTCAGGTCACCAGAGGCGGTTTGGTGACCCTAGCTCAGAAAAGTTTGCAATCACGCCAGAGCTAGAGTTTTTGACCGATCAATTTCTTCTCTTCAGGCTTTAGTTAAGGTACCAGTATGTGCAATTTGTATATCTCGGAATTTTGATATCAGTGACCTAAGGTCAGGTCAGTTTCGCGACCTCCCCATTATGTCAATGGGGGAAAAATCAACTCCCTGTTTTTACCACTAAAACGGGTCGGAATGGCCCCATATACCATACATGACTTCATA